TTTGTATTTTTCGATTTTTATTGAGATATGCATATATATATATATATATATATATATATATATATATATAATCATCGACTGAAATCGCGTTAGTCAAAAACGGAATTAAATAAGCTAAATACGAGAATGGATTTCGAATACATATATTTTGTAAAATCATTGATCTGGACAGATAATCAGAGGAACATAGTGAAGAGAAGTAAGCGAAGCAATATATATATAATGGTTTTCGAGAAGCAGTACAAAAAACAATGAACGATTTGTATGAGAAAAGTATGATTGAACCGATTCAGTCTTCACCATGACGTACTCCTATTTTTACGCCATCTAAGTCGTGTGGCAAGACTGTGTAGAGGTAAATAAATCACCGAAATCAATAGCTCTGTAGGTTTTCGACATTTGGTGCTGACCAAATTAGTTTTAATGGACTCATCTAGCTGAAGGTGACTGGTCGCACATCTGCACCAGATCACAAGTGAGAACGCCGTGTTCAACTCCTCCTACAACCGCTAGCCAGTTTAGATCAGTCACTTCTTGATATATTAATAGCCTACCAAATATATCTTCGAACTTCTTCGCTTCTGACTTCAGATTTTATTGGGTGGACACGTTTTGATTATATAGATATTACTCGGTAAGGTGTTATCAAACCCCAAATACTTGTGACATCCTCAACCCCTAGAATATGTTGTGACTACAGATTAACAACGAACTCCCGTTTGTTGAAGCAAACGTGCATGAGGATAGATCCTGAAGTTATTCTAATGTGACCTTGCACGGGTTCAGTTACGCTCGATAACCACTCTTGTACTCCTTTGGCACGATCTCGGTATCCTTTCGACACCACGAGATCGCCAACAAATACATCTCGACTACAGCCATCAACTGCCTTCTGATATTTGGCTTACGGGGGATTTTATCGTTTAACTGGCTAGTAGTCTTCTTGTAGTGGTGTTCATAGTCAATCTCGACTCGACACCACACTACAATTGGTGAACCCAAAAGCACGAAAAATTCTCAGACTCTGGTCAAATCTTCCAAAGAAGCCAATTGCGGTGAGTCTATTATTTATCTATCCAAGTCTGTCGTATATTTTCATATTAATATTTTTCAATATATGATATACTCGACATGGTGGAAAGAATAGTAATAATATGATAGACTCCGACGTACGCATACCAAATCATAGATGTCTTTCATTCGCGTGACTATATATTTCACGATTTGTTCGGGAAATTTCCCCAAATAACTATTCTCACTGACCCGGCTGCTTGGTACGGAATGCATACACACTGCCGCCTACCACCCAGTGTCAAATGGTATAGTTGAACGGTTTCATCGCCAAATTAACAGTGATTATCGAGCGCACGAAAACGACAATCGGTACAAAACCTTACCGCTCGTCCTCTTAGGTATCAGAACGAGCTTGTTCCGCCGCTGAACTTGTATACGGCACGAAATTTCGTCTGCCTGGGGAAGTCTTCACACCACGGGGCAGCAACGGTTTCGGTTAATCGGACTACGTCCACCGACTGTCTGCATTTATGTGAACACTGTCTCCGGTGTCAACTCGTATACAACGTCTACAGGTCGCTCTCCCTCGAGAGTTATCCACCTGTTCACATGTTTTCATACGAGCAGATTCGGTACGCAAACCATTGCAACAGCCTTACAAAGGACCTTTTCACGTGATCCCTCGTCACGAAAAGACGTTCAAGGTTGATCAACATGGCCGCGTCGAGATCGTCAGCATTGATCGTCTCAAACCAGCACACGTCAATAACAGTGCCCTACACGGTAACTCGAGACTCAATTCAAGACCTATCAAATCTACTAGCAGGACCCTTACATCTACTTCATGTCCCACGCTAGATACACCAGAGACCTCATTTCACGTCCCTGTCAACAGCATATGCCATCTGCACCATATACGAACGAGACCATCGTCTCACGTTCTGGTCGCCGAGTACGCTTACCCGCACGCTTTGGCGACTTATCGCACAGTCAATAACGGATGCGGTGTAGGACTATTCCTACACTACATGCATACTACACTTTTCTCTTTTTTCATATTTTTGTATCCTGAGCCCACGCCTCCGACCATCGCCCGTTTGGTACCGTCGACTTCAGTCAACTTTGGCGAAAGCCGGGCTGGCCACTCACACTCTTGTCAACGCACTCAGTCGATGTTCTGGTTTCGTACTTGGTCGTTATGATTGCTTCCGGTTTCTTAGCTCAACGTGGTTTCGTCCCACGTCTGCAGCATGTTCTGGTTTGCACCACTACGAACGCAATATTCCGATCCTGGATACAAACCACTCTGGTGTGGTACGCTAACTTGAGCAACAAACACAGCACACTTCTGGTACCGTTCTCCGTAAAAGACCTTCGTTGGCAACTGAAGGATCAACGACCACGTCCTGTTCCGCCAATCCTCTCGTCCTACAATCGCACGTCTGCCGATCAGTCCCACGAATCAAACCGCTACTTATCGAAAGTGTAAACCCCTTCTGGCGGGGCTCCTGTAGTGACCTACTTTTATGAAGAGAACGCGACTGATTTAATGGAAACAACCATTATTATAACCAATTGTACCAGTGGTTGTTTTACTGTGCTCGTTTGTTTAATTGTGCTAAAGACAGCCATATTCCTACTCCATTACTCTCCATTACTTTTCCGCGGATTGTGACCTCGTACGTACCGATGAAGAGCATATGCCAAACTATTTCTTATGAGGAGTTGTTAACCATTACAATAAGAAAAAGGAAGCAATTTTTATGGTCAAGGCTGCCAGAACTTCTGGTCAACTTTTGCATTATTTATAAAAAGTCTGTCATGCTTGCATATAGTAATTATTCTGATATACTCCATCAGACGGCTGATTTATTTTCCAAATACGAAAATTCCACTGTTCTTCGCCATATCCTCTGTGACGTTGGTACTGGCATGAACAGGATCCCTAATCAATCAAAATTCTGTCATAACCAGTCACGCTTTTCATTTTTGGTCATGGTGGACTTATTTTCTCCTCGGAGTCAAATTTCTCTTTTCATCATACTTTAATTTTGTCTCGATCTACTTATTCTCGTTTTTATATTTTATGTACGCTGTTATTTTATTTCAGTCAGACTGTGGTTTTGAATTTTCTCGAGTCACATTTTAGCCGAACCAGCGTTGTCTTATCATTTAAAAATATTTGATTCATTTGTGGGGCAAATGAAATGCCACGGCTACAGCCAGGTCATAGAGTAGTTGGGTCACTTAAAATCGGACAGTTCACTAATCTTCGTTAAAATCAAAGACAACCATAGAGTACTAATGAATTACACACTATGAATTGGCCTGTGTGGCAGTGATCACTATTCTGAACAATGCGATTCTGTAGTATAGTTATGTCCGTTCTATATGGTCATCAAGGTGGCCGAAAAACTTGAATAGAACGGAAGAGTAGTCGACGTTGTGTATCAACCGCGAATTGTGACTTCGACGACGGCTAGAAGGTTATACCATTCCCGTCAAATTCGAGTAGGCCCACGGACACCTACACAGATGACCTTCATCGGTGATGTAAACGTTGAACTTTACCAATGACTTCCTTACTTCGAACTCTGCAGATATGTCTGGCTTAGACAAACTGACTTAGAACTGTGGTTTTGGTAAATAATGATGATTAAGACCACATTGGTAAACCCTGTTTGCTGTGTGAGATTAGGACCATCTAGTTGAACTTCATTTAGTTGAGTCCGCTCAAACTAACAAAGTCAGCAACAATGGTAGAGGAATACAGAACCATTTACTCTGAAGAGTGGTTTACCCTCGCAAGTTTGTCAAAATAATTCGTTAGTTTATGATGTAGCGGAACAGTTAAACGACTACTGTACGTAAGGCACTACTCGACATTTTATATTATCTCGATCTTTCTTTTTACGATTTATAATAATAAAAAAAATTTAATATGCTTATATATTCATATTTTTATTTTTAAAAAAAAACAAACAAAATATTTTTTTAACGCTATTACGTGTGCTTGAGTTTATTTTCCATTTTTTGCCGACATTGTGCTTTTACGCACATACGAGTGTACTTCGATACGCACTTACATTTTCTCTTTTCTTGTCCAGGACGGCTGGAGAAGAACGATGAGGTTTACGAGGAGTCAAAATTTTCATTGTAATTTTTTTTACTATGTTGTACCTCGGTCCCATATAGTAAAGAAAGACGACCAGACGCTGCTAAACCTAGTAAGCTATCAGAAGAGTGTTTACCAACGACAGACTCGTTGGGTTTAAACTTCTGGCTGGCCACTTCTTAGGGTCGTCACTGCCCCACTAGGGGGGAGTGATCTGTAGCGGTAAATAAATCCCCGAAATAAATAGCTCTGTAAGTTTTCGACATTGGATGCTGACCATATGCTTTAGTGGACTCATCTAGCTGAAGGCGTTCGGTCATGCATCCGCACCAGATCACGTGTGGTAACGCTGTGCTCAACATCTACCGCAATCGCTAGCCGTATTGGATCAGAGAATTCCGATATATTGGTAATCGCCAAATACACTCTTCCGATCTCCTCGACTCTGTCTTTTGATTTCTCTTGGTGGGTACAAATCATATTAGAAGGTGTTGCTGGTAAAAGCGTTGTCAAACACTGAATACCTGTGCCATCTTCAATGATATTTTGTGTTCTTTTCTGTTTCAAAAGCTGATGGGTGCTGAAAACCAGCCTTTGATAATAATACGTCTACTTTCCTTAACACATTCCGTTCATACAGAAGGTTTAAAAACGTCAATCACCCTCGAGGCTATCCCAGTCAATTGGCAAGCTAGAAATCCTAAAACTAATTACCTATTATTTACACCACAGTGACCAAGAAAATTGACAAATATCCTTAAAGGCAATCGAAATATTTAAAAACTCTGTTTAACAACGGGAAGTAAACACTAAAAAACCAATTGATTGATGCAAATTAGTCGCTAGGATATTGGATATTGGATTAACCTCTGAGTCTTCGGAGCAATTTCGGAGGTAGCGCTACGTCGCGTGCCTTGCGAATAGTTTCCCTGACTACATTCACTTCCGGGGAAAACACATTTCTGAATTTATATGTTTTCTCATTCTTATCGGCCGTCATATATCAAGACTGCACTTAAATACTCAACGTATGCATATGGAGCATCACCAAGTAAGGACGTCAAATAAAATCTGCTTTAAAGTACTAATCAAACTTTTAGGACTTCAAAACAACGACCCTTTGTCCCCAAAACCACATGAATCCAAAGTTCTGACTGTTAAGAAAAGTGGCAATCCTCAGATTGATGAACTATCGCTTAATGCGGCTATACTTATCAAACAATCTGAGTGTGCTCTAACTTCCAAGCACATTCCTCCTAGGTTCCAAACAATCACAAAGTGTTGCAAACAGTTTTGGATGGCGAATTTTCCCGAGTGGTCTCGCATTCTTGAAATAAAACTGGACAAGGACCCACACTTTCTTGACAGTCATATTTCAGAACCCAGTTTCCCGCATAGTTTCTCTGCTCAGCTTTCAAAAATTTTTAATTTCAATATCAAACTAGCAGGATTCTTGGATTCAAGTATTGCGTCAGGAGAGGTCAGTGTTTTGGTGCTTAATCTGTATATTTAAAGTAAGGTGGTTATTGCTAGGTCAAATTACGCTAATCGCTCTTTGTCATATGTCATTTAGTGATTAATCGTTAGATTTAAAATTAAAAAATGTTAATGTTTTGAGATTTTACATAGTATGATCTTACCTGAAAAATGTTAAAGGTCAGTTATTTGACCGTTTAAGTGGGTTACTTATAGTTCACAGGTTTCTCAAAATCATGTGGAATGGTCTCGTTGACATTTCAGTTAATAGAACGTTCGATTGTGCTGTTTCGCGCTGCTGTTTAGTCTAATCTCCATAGCATATAGTCAGGCAAAAGACTCAGCGCTATTAAAACAAGTTTGTTCTTCACTATCTCTAAACTAGAGGTCTTTCAATCTTGGTTAAATATATATCTCTGTTTATTAGTTGTATGATGCTGACTAGATCTGAAGCACACTTGCCTCAGGCTGTATACTGATCGACTAACCAAGTAAATGTCCTGTAATCTTAAGAAGAATAGTATATTGCATCACAAGTTCTTACCCTTTGAATTGCGGTTAAAATCAGTATTAGTTAGTGTGTCAAGAGCTAATACGGACTGAATCTTTAGATTTCGTTATCACTACCTAACTATCAATTTGTTTGTAAAACGAGACAATAAGTCCGATGTTTTGGCTGGAGTCCATGATATTTATTTCCAGGTAAATCGCTTTCGAATATAAGATCTAAGTTCTCAGACAGGATGTCTCTAGCTCTTGAGAGTAGCTCTTTGTTCAAACTTTCAGCACTATCTAAACTATTACGATTATCACTATTCTGGAAAAGAACCTACTGTTTATAATGAACAAATAGTTTTCAGTTTCAGTTTGGAAAGGACAGGAGGCTTGATCGTCTGTGCTAGTCCTGGAAATAGTGGTCTGTCAGTTGATCCAACTTTCTTTTGAAAGAGTCGACGGATGGAGCCTCAACCATGTGCTGAGTTAATGAATTCCACTCGTTAATGATGCGATGAGAAAGTCGATAGTCAGCTGACAACTAATTTGTTCTGAGCTTGTGAAGTGTTCTAGAGTGTCCTCGTAAATCCTCTGTTTTTGAAGACAAGAAAAATAAGGACATATCAGGTGCAAGTTTATCACTAAGCAATTTGAAAACTGTAATCAAGTCACCTCTAGTTCTACGACACGACAACGGAAATAGGTTTAGCTTGGCCAGTCGAGTATCATACGAAAGCTTCTCTATTCCGGGAATCAGCTTAGTTGTTGTTCTCTGAACCTTTTCCAGAAGTTCACCGTCTTTTTTTAGGCAGGGGCTAGCCGCTTGTATGCACTACTCAAGTTTAGGACGTACGAACACCGTATACAAAGTCAAAAACGTTTTAGCGTCGACATGACTAAAGGCCCTACGTATTGACCATAAAGTTCTAGAACCTTTGGGGGCTATTGCACGTCAGCGTGCAGTAGTCTTGAAGTCTTGGCTAACGATGACTCGTAAGTGATTGTGTGTAGCTCAGTGTTATTTATCATGCATGTATCTGTACCTTGATGACCGATATGCATCACAACGCACTTGGAAGTATTTGTCGGCAACTGCCAGGTTGAAGATCATTCAGATAATTTCTCCAGGTCGTTTTGGAGTTCTAAGCTATCACCCTTACTTCGTATCGTCCTCCATATCTTGACATCTTCAGCATATAGCAAAACCGATTATGATAGTAGACAAGGAAGGTCATTTTCATGCAAGAGGAACAACACTGGCCCCAAAACTGTACCCTGGGGCACTTCACTAAGTACGGCTTCCCAGCTAGACAACTTTGAATTCACCCGAACTAGGAAGTCTTTTATCCACATTAATAGATTGTCTCCAATTCTAGCATTCCTTAGCTTACATAACAGCCGATTGTGTGGAGCTTTGTCAAAAGCTTTGCTGAAATCAATGTAGGCTACGTCTACACGTAACTTTTGGTCCTTAAGAGCTCACCAGCTTTCACAAGCGACTAATAAGTTAGTGAGACAAGAATAACTTATTCTAGAACCATACTGTTTCTCCGAAAGGATCCGGTTTTCATTGAGGTACTTAAACAGCTCCTTCCAAATAATCTTTTCTAAGATTTTAACAACCACACTAGTTGAGCTAACGAGTCGGTAATTCTCAGGTTTATGTTTCGTAACTGTTTCGAAGACAGGACTTGCTATGGCGTTCTTCCAGTCTTTTGGTAACCGACCCTGCGTTACGGATAGATTAAAGCATATACTTAAAGGGTTCGCAACGAAGTTAGATAATTCCTTCAGTCGCCTAGGATGCATCGAGTTCTTTAATGGTCACGTCCAGTGCATGTGCGGGGGGATTTGTATGCGCTGACGGGAAGAGTGTTTTTATGTTATATACATTGATAAAGTAGTTCGAGAACATTTAAGCCTTACCAAAGTCATCTTCCACTAATGATGCGGCAGTACTGTCTCCCTATAATGCAGGAATATCTCTTCTTTTTGTCCTCTGGTTTATTTACGAATACAAGCGTTTAGGACATTCTATGGATTCCCTAACTTTCTAGACTTACGGAGGGTCGAGGCACAGGTATTCCGAGCTTTTCGGTACTGATATTTCGTCTCATCAGTCCCCAGCAACCTAAATCTATTCCACGTTTTTCTTCTCTTGCGGAGATGGATGCGAACCTCCCTACTGAACAATGGTGGAAAGTTTCTCGGCCCCCTTGATATAGTCCAAGGGATGTGCGGTGCGGTAACTTTTAAGTATAAACTTCGAAATGCGTCCTAAGCCGTTTCAATTGAGGACTTTGGCTCTATTGTCCAAACTACTAAAGATGCTGAGTGCATGATATCCGGTATGTTTGCTTTCCAGACGTTAGTTCTGGATTGAGCTGACGCGTGCTCGTGATTGACAGTTATATGGAAGTCAAAATTTAAAACTGTGGCCACTTTTACCTAGGGGTGGCATGTAATGGAGGTTCACAACGTCATCCTCATAGTGAGTCAATATAAGATCTAGTTAGGATGATTCAGTGTCCGGGTCGTACCGGGTCGCTTCTTTCACATGTTGCACTAGGGCACATGTGATAACCGCATCACCTAGTTCCTGATCGAAGGAATTATCTGACGATTCAGTTCGCAGATTTTCCCAGTCTACCACTGATGCATTAAAGTCCCCTAGGATTAGACATCGACCACATTGTGACCAAGTATTGAGACTGCCTAGCAGGACCTCATTTACCCCACAGCTTGGACTGCAATAGACCAAACCAATCAGCAGCTCTTGTCCCTTGCATTTCAAGAGGCAACTAACTAATTCATACGTCCCACTCTCATGGGATACACTGTCGATAATGGCAAATGGGGTAGCATTCCTAATGAATAGAGCCACTCCCCCTCCTTTACGCTTTTGTATTCTGTCGGCCCTTACTAACGTAAAACCCTCGAAATAAGGGTCCATACTATCTATGGACTGTCAACCAGGTTTTTGTGACTGCGATTATGTCTGGCTTTGTAGAGTCAATCTGTACACCTAGTTCCGATCGCTTATTGAGCAAGCTTCGGGCATTAGTGTAACAACTTAATTAAACGATTTTGGAGTTTAGTCCGTTTCAACTAAATGCAATCTGTTGAGCGGTGACTTAGTGACTAAGGCATCCAGCTTTCAATCACAGCCACAAGTTCGCGTGCCGCCCCACCTACTGCTCTTTGAAGAGTCGAGTAGTATCACTAGCCCTCATGCACAGGGTGACTCAAAATCACGTACACAAATGTATACTTGTCTTATGAGTCCTGGCAATTATTAGAGCAGCGATTTTTCTTAAAGAGATGTAATTTGTACACAACGTATCCTATAAAAGTCAACTTTCTATAATCTCGTTTCTTTCAGGTTTTTAATTTTCTACGGTTTTGTGATTCCGTTTACAAAGAATCGCGAACAGCTAAAGGATTTCGACGTGGCCATATTATACAGACCTCAATGGTTTACGAAAAGCTAGCAAATTATTACGCAAAATGTGTGAGTCATTCGGTTTTTCTCCATTTCCATCGTGTTTAACTAAGTAACACTTAAAAGCTTGTATCAGATCGCATCTCCACATAGCACGTTTATTTTATACACTCGTCGACTGTTTAAACATTAAATATTCTTAGGAATATTTAAGATACATGATTCAATATATTTCTTTTCGACTGGTCACCGATAGTAAGACAATATTTACGACCTAAAATCTCAGTTTTTTTCGGGACTTGAATTCTCCATGTTCATTAGCAGGAACTTCAAGTTAAAACTCCAACATGAGGAATTCTTCACTGTACCAAAGAACTCTCGCAGATAATGAATTCAGTCAACTTTGTCTTACCTTTGGTTGTAAAACATAATTAAAACACCCGTGGGCCGCACTTTTCTACCAAATGTATATTCGAAGCGTCTGTCACGCGTTGTGACACAACCAAGTGAGCAGTGCCGATGTTATATGTAGGGTACTTGACACAATACCTAAATGTTAGTCCTAAGAGTCACATTTTAAGTGCTTGATGAATGAGTAGTCCGCAAGCTAATTTCCTCCAATCTCCTATGACATTTTATCATATCTATTTTTTGTTAATATTCTGCTTATAAGCATGTTATTTTACCACAAAGAAATATATTTGTCTGGCCAATAGTATTCTTGATTTCTAATCATTCGAGGTTGCAGTTAAATAATACAATCTTGTAAGTAGCCAACACTCAGCAATATCGCATAATTCCGCTTATCTGTCGGTTCTTTATTTATTTATTTATTTCAACACATAGATATTGGTACAAAGAGGCACCAAATACATATGCGCCACACAAATTTCATTCGATATGTGTGAGGGCTGTGATACTGCCCGGGTGCCCAAACCGAAGCAGGTGGTTATCTTAGGGGGCCACACCCCGAGCCTTTGACCTAAAGGTCTAACCCACAAGGCAGTGAAGCAACGTCAGGCGATGCAGCCGCATGGAAGCCGGTTACCAGCAATTGGTTCATACGCCATTTGTTCCCTCAGGAAACTGGAGCCAATGTGCGCCAATGGTTTGGAATCCGATCAAAGCGCCGGACATTCGCCTCTCATTTTCGTAAACAACACCCCCGTCACGAGAAGTCAGTGAGTAGGACTTCCTTAGCAGAGGCTTTATACACGTAGCCATGTGAGAGTATTTCGAGAGGGAGAGCGGACTCTCCCCACTCTCGATTCGCATTTTGTTCATCAATTTTTTCAATCTGAAATTACTCCCATCACCTCAAACCCCCTTCATAAAAGTACTAGACAACGATGATAAGTTCGTTCATAATACTAAAAACTTTTGCAATTCACATCATATTTATTAATTAACTTATTTGAACACATAAATATTGGTACAACGGGATTACCGAATACATATACGCCACACAATAAGAGTGAGGTTGTGAAATGATAGAGCACGTAACCTGCGTATAATGAAAGAGAAACAGCGAACAGAAATTATTGCGTACATCGAGTTAATGATAATAATGGAAGAAACAGCTGGTTTAGAATTCTTTCAGTTAAAGAATTTACGTTCACTTATTATGAAGAAACTAAACAAAGTTACACCAGGATCGCCATTAGATTCAATTCTGAGCCATATCTGATAACGTCTCTACTCACCGTGTTGCACCATTTCAAGCACTTCAGTCAGAGAGACGTGAAGGACCAATAGATTCCAGTCCTGTACAGCCTTCTTTAACACCACGATATCGTGTCATACAGTGACCACCTCCGCTTTTTCCAACCAGTCCCAGCGTTAGCAAATAATGCACGATGTGGAACTCCATAGGCATATATTCTTAGTACCTGTCCAAGCTACCGAAGTCGGTATTCCAAGATAGTGACACTAATTGAATTATCGTCCCTGTGCCCGAACACACGATGCCAAACCTCTGCATTACTAACATGGCGTTACCACTGGATGTCAGCAATCCTTCGGAGACAACGATGATCAAACACAGAAAGTCGTCTAACATCCTCAACTCGGAGAGGCCAGGTTTCACAAGCATAGAGCACAACTGCTCTCATCGACGCGTTGTAGATCTGACCTTTTTCAGCCAAACTAACATCGCGAAGGCGCCAAACGTTAGTATAAGCCGCTCTGGCTTTCACTATACGTGAACTGGTCTCATCTCTCATGCGACCACCAGCGCTTACACAGCTAAGCAGATACATTAACTTCTCGACCCCGTCTATCCCCTCGTTACCCAGGGTGAGTGCAGTATCTGGGTTCTGACAGTTTTGTAAAAGTACTTTGCACTTCGAAGGTGCAAAGCACATACCACACCTATGGACACTATTTGTCAATTGACTAAGTGCGGATTGCATGACTTGGGTATCATCGCATAGTAAGACAATATCGTCCACTCAAGGTCGAAAAGTCTTTCTCTAGGCAACAGATTCACACCACCATTACCTACATCCATCAGAGCTGTTTCCGGAACGGCATCAATGGAAAAGTTGAAGAGGGGTGGTGAGATTGGGCAACCCTACTGGTTGAATGGAACAATGGGAAGAGGTAGTCGTACGCCATCACTCTGCATAGGATATTTGTATATAGACCCTCCAAGATGTTAGTAAGCTTCTCAGGCACACATTTCTTCAATAGACAATCCCAGAGAACAGTTCTGTCCAACGAACCGAAGACGGCTTTAATGTCAAGAAACACTACAATTGTTGGCCTGTAACAAGTATGACAGTGTTCTAAAATTAAGCAGAGGGTCAAGATATGATCAATACATCCTCGATCAGAATGCGAACCGGCCTGTTCCTCGTGAGTCAATCTTTCTTCGGTTTTGAATAATCTACGAAGTGTGACGCAAGCCAATAGTTTCGATTCAATCGGAAGTAGACTTATATCCCGATAGTTGTTGAATAGGTGACAAATACCTTTAAAAGTTAGGATTGACTATCGATCCTCTAATTCACAAAATTTTGCAAACAACTTAGTTCAATAGTCAGAAGGTTGCAACAGCACTTAAAGAGCCCCAAGAGTAGGTCATCTGGGCTTGGTGGTTCCTAGAGTTCCTTGGGGGCTTTTGTCTCCTGTCCAGAGGGAACAGAACAGTCTGGTCGAGGTCGCTGGGACAGCAGACCAGCTTAAGTGTTTCTCGAACAACTCCACCTACTGTGCTGACATTTAGTGTCAGCCAGGAATGGGTCGTGGTCTGTGCAAAGTTTGAGTAGATGGTCCATCGTTCAAGACATCGACATGTTATCTGTTGAACGCCCTTTATGAAGATCACTTAACTGATGGTACAATTTATCCTCGATCGCATCCGGGCTGCAACGTGCAGGGGAGTAGAAGATAACAAATGACATCGTTTTTCACACCGATTTCTTCGCACTTTGATGGGGCTTTATAACCTAACATCATATAGCCGCGGTTCTAGAGATACTGTTTCAGTATTCGTAGTCGGTGGTAACATTCATCCCATGGAATACTGTCGAACTACAGGACCTTTCCCAACAACTTAGCCTTCATTTCTGGAAAGGCCTTAAAATAGATTGTCTAAGCCTAATGAAATGTTGATAGGCAATCATCAGCCAAGGAGGATATCACATTCTGATTGATATTTGTGAGACAATGGATCAGTTAAATTGTCCTCCACCTAGTTTTCAAGGAATTTATGATAATTACTATTTGGAGTGCCATCAACTCAGATTATGTCACTTACATTGAACCTTCCGGTACTAATAGTGCATTAGTACTTGATAGCCTTTCCGAAAAATTATTGTTCATAATTATAGTACGTTAATGTATAAAATATCAGTAACTATCCCTTGTTAACCAAAACGTGAAGCTCTTTTAAATTAACTTAGTGTCTTGAATGTGTCTTTCTGTCCATTGTTGTTGGTGTACGAAGTTGACGAATGTATAACTTCTGTTTGCCTACACTAATCAGAATTTGTCCAGATTATAAGCGACGGTTTGCAAAGTGAATGGTCTTCATTGTTTTATTGTTAGATGAACCATCAAATAAAGCCATTTTGATCCAAACTTATACAAAAATAAGTCATGTATATTTTTTATGTGGTTCTAAATCAACCCATCACCCTTTAGAAGATAATAGACTATGGTTATACAACTAATATAAATATTACAAGTCCTTTTTGCACTTTTTCATTATTTTAGGGTGACTGGAGTGGATACATTAAATTACTGGAACGAATGAAACGAGAGGGTTTGTTACCTTCAAAAAATACTTATTTCTATGGATTCGAATGTTTGGGTAAACTTATGAACAAGAATGGATCTCAACTTCCACCGTCTTCGCACCCTCAGTCTATTTCAAAAAATAAAGCATTTAATCGCATAACTCCCAAATCAGTTATACCTATGGAAAAAATTGGACGCGAAGCTAAAAATCTAATAGGTGCTGCTGAAAAGGAGGTAATTTATTTTGCCCCTTTCTGTAATAAATGTAATTTTTCAGTTATCATTCTTAAATTATTATTTTTAATAGTCAAATCATTGGCATTTTACGGGGTACTGGGTATCTATGTGGTTGTGCCACAGGATTGATCTGCGCTCTTCAAGTTCCATTATTAAAACTTGGATAGCGACTGATCCTCCTCAAAACAAATGTAAACTTATCATCTATCAGAAGGGTATGTTTATATAGAAGTGAACACCTCCCGAATCCTCTAGTACGAGCGAGGGTGGTGAATCCGTTCACCCACTCATAATGCTTTCATATATCCACTGTTAGGGAAGTCCTACTCACTGCCTTATCGCGACCAGGGTGTTGTTTACGAAATTGGGACGAAAAGCGAACGTCCGGAGCTTAAACCGGGTTCGTGAGTACGGAGGATCCACCTAGGAGAGTTAGAAAACCTTTATTCCAAACTATTTATGCAAATGGGGCTCAAGATCCCAAAGGAGCAAATGGCGTGTAAACCTATTCTTGGTCACCCGCTACCATGAGATATCGTCTCATTACGTTGCTCCGCTGCCTCGTGAATTAGGCATCTAGCTCAAAGGCTTGGCAACTGCCCTCTAGCTCGCACACAAATCAAATAATGGTTAGAACTGAAAAAATACTCTCCCTCCAATTTGCATTTTCAGAAATTGTATTTACAATTATTCCGAAACATTCGTTATTATTTTATATTACATCACGTCTATATTCTCTTGTTTTCATATTTTGTTTACTCCCTTATTTTTCAACCCATACAGCAGTTTGTTTATTATTGAAAACCCTCTCCCAACCAAGCGTTCTCAAACCGCTTTTTGGTCGAAAGTTGAATGCTACATCCGACTACGAATACTTAAACAGTCTTTCTGAAACCACGTATACCATTCAAACTGGCCCCCTTCAACGTTAATGCGGATCGGACAACAGATAGGGTTGGCTATATCTTTATAAATTCATAATATCGATATCTGTTGTCTATCCGAGACTCATATTCAAGACTCTAGTAAAGTACTACAAGTTCTCTTTCCATCTGCCCAGATACTGCACTCACCCTGGGTAACGAGGGGATAGACGGGGTCGAGAAGTTAATGTATCTGCTTAGCTGCATAAGTGCTGGTGGTCGCATGAGAGATGAGACCAGTTCACGTATAGTGAAAGCCAGAGCGGCTTATACTAACGTTTGGCGCCTTCGCGATGTTAGTTTGGCTGAAAAAGGTCAGATCTACAACGCGTCGATGAGAGCAGTTGTGCTCTATGCTTGTGAAACCTGGCCTCTCCGAGTTGAGGATGTTAGACGACTTTCTGTGTTTGATCATCGTTGTCTCCGAAGGATTGCTGACATCCAGTGGTAACGCCATGTTAGTAATGCAGAGGTTTGGCATCGTGTGTTCGGGCACAGGGACGATAATTCAATTAGTGTCACTATCTTGGAATACCGACTTCGGTAGCTTGGACAGGTACTAAGAATATATGCCTATGGAGTTCCACATCGTGCATTATTTGCTAACGCTGGGACTGGTTGGAAAAAGCGGAGGTGGTCACTGTATGACACGATATCGTGGTGTTAAAGAAAGCTGTACAGGACTGGAATCTATTGGTCCTTCACGTTTCTCTGACTGAAGTGCTTGAAATGGTGCAACACGGTGAGTAGAGACGTTATCAGATACGGCTCAGAATTGAATCTAATGGCGATCATGTTGTGACTTTTTTCATAGTGGTTTAATGACTTGAAATAATTCTTTCTAGTTCTATTTTAATTAAGTGAACTGCTCTTATTATTCTTTTTATACTCACCCTCCTTTGTATGTCTTTTTGTAGTCTCATTTTTATTTTTTAGCCCTTACGGATTTCGGTGTCCGTTCGTATCAATGTTCCTCATCTATGCCACATTAGGTAGGTCGATGGACACCGACCAGGAAGGACAGAACCGCCTGATATAGGTCGCCGGGACAGCAATCCAGCTAAACTGTTTCTCAAATAATTCTATCGACCCAGACGTCAATAGATGCTATTAATCGGTGTTCCGTCCGCTTCTCAGATTACTCCCGAAGCCCATTTGCACCATTGGTTTGGAACCAAGGTTTTCCAGCTGTCCTAGTTGGGTCTCCCGTACTCGCCAACCCGGTTTAAGCCCCGGACATTCGCTTTTCGTCCTAATTTCGTACAAAACACCCTGGTCGCTATAAAACAGTGAGTGGGACGTCCCTGACAATGTCTATTTACGAGTGGCAATATGAAAGCATTTCTAGAGGTAGAGTGGACCCACCACTCTCGGTCTTATTTAATGCATTCAGGGTCCTCTTTGCAGTAATGCAGGCACTTGTTAGATTTTATAGATCTCCGACAGGAATAGTCTTGACATAAGACTTATGGAATATTTCCTACTTGAAAGCTCTTCTGAGGTGAAATATTCTTTTAGTTCTTAGTTCCTAAAGTGCTACTTTATGTTTTAAGACCCTTTACCACTGGGTTTGCGATATCTTTGTTCAGATTATATTAAATGAATCAAGCTAATTATCAATAGTCTTCGTGAAAATCCGACAGAATGCATTCTAATTTTTCATTATTATTGCTAAAATTCCCAGCTCATTTTAGGACATCTGTTCTCAATTATTAGTTCATTACCCTGTTAATAACCTTTTCTTTTGTACATTCGGTGGGATAATAAAACTGTGTATACACATGTTGTTTGTCTAGTCAGTCTTTGCTGTCCCTAATAAGTTTTCTACTGAATATTTACTTGTGTTAGGTAGTAGCTTCAGGCAGAATAAAAAGTTACTTATATTCTTTGTTCAGAGAATAAGAACCTCAGAGTATTTCTTCTTTTTACATTTGGTTCATTCATGTAGTTTATTTGTCTAATAACAAGTTGAAGGCAATTTAGCTATTCATGTAGTTTCACCACATGGAAAACAATGTTATTTCCAACAGTATAACAGTTTCACAGATTTATTATCCTCTATGTTTTAAAACATCTTTAATTGACCATAAAACTATTAAATAAGTCAAAATAAAAGAGGCGGCACTAAATTTTTGTTCACAAGTAACAATTTATTAAGTCACTCCTTTGAGTTTATTCCTATTCTTACATTCTATAGAAAACTTCGCAGGGTGTTTGTATCTGTTTATTAATTCATTTTATTCATTACAATTCTCTGTTTCATTGATATCTTGTAACAGACCAAGATTATTTGTTTCTTAATCTTCACATGACTTAGCTATAAGTTTGTAATTCTCTGCTTCTCTAGGTAATTTTATATACTCTGTTAAGTAAGATCATGATGAATGTTTTATTTGTTGGCATTCATTCACTAAGCGAGTGCTGACTATTCTTTATTATTCTTGTAATTCCTATGAATTTAATTAATATACACGCTTTCTCTTTTTAAAGGGACATGATCTAACTCAGGGATTACTAGGTTTATCTCTAGAAGAAGGTTCATTGAGGAACATTCTCACTGCTTTGTTGTATGTCCGACCAAATATAAATCCAAATCTTAATTACTTTATACACTATTCATCCAGTAATATTTCAACACATACCAAACGTATCAAGGAAATATCTCATCCAGCTCAAAAACATTTAGATAGTGTTAAAGTAAGTTAATAACATTTTGTTTCCCTAATTATGCTCACAGACTTGCATGACGTACTTTTTGCATTACCCCAGTAATCTAAATACCCATTTTTTAGCACTTTACATGAAATGTGTAAAACTAAAACGTAATAAGAAAGTATAATTGAGTGCTTTCTGTCTAATATCAACTGATCTGATGACTCAGATCTTTGATGCAACTTCTTGTCTTCTATTAAATTAATTTTCAATTCAATCAAAAGTAGTTAAGATATTGATTTTGTACTCGTAAAAAATTAGCTGAATCCGAAATTCCTTATCATAAGCTTAATTTTTTAACCTACATACAATTATAATTCCTTACCAATGTAATTTGAATTAATAAGTTTAAATTTGTCTAGTGGTAATTTGACATGTCACAGGTTCGAATCCCACCACATTGTTTTCAGTTCAAGCAGTCTGCTAGTATTACTATTTCTACCATACGAATAGAAGTCAAGCTCCTAAATCCATGTTTGATAAATAAGTTGCATTAAAATATTCGATTTAGACCTTGAGCAATAGGTCTCACAATATATCTCACTGATACAAATGTGTTCGCTTTTTTCTTTCGCTTATTTTCATAATTCTTGCTTACTGATTTTGTTCATTTTTCCTTCCTTTTTATACTTAGTTATCCTCTTAAATTAGTATTATCACCATCATTATCAATCTTTTGGTTTTTCCCTTAATAATTCCTTTTTCCTGTTTCGATCTAAAACGTGATAACTTAAATTAAAGCACCCTTAAACCAGGGCTAACTCTGTACATATCTGTCTGTAAACACCTCTATATTATTGTTTAAATTACATTAATCTCTAAAACAATCCCTTTTCTAATAAAACACTAGTCCTAAGTCAAGTTGTTCTCTCAGTTTGGAAATGTTTTCCTCCTTAATTATAGCACGAACGTAAAAATCCTTACGCTGGTATTTTTACGGATTTTGGTGACATTTCAAAGGCATTTAAAAACCAGATGTATGTAGAACAAATGACAGAAGTCACTGTCTCACCCGTACTTTCACCATTCGGTCAATCAGAAACTACCTCTTTATCGCCAGAACTAAAAAAGAATTTGGTACGTTATCTTGTTTTGTACATCTGTAAATGATTTACTCACTATAATTTTAATATCTAATATATATTTGTACACAGGAAATCTAAACCATTGAAAGCAACCTTGGGACTAAATTCATTCTTTTAAGGTGTACCACTCTCCAGTGTCGCTTACATTTACCACATCATTAATTGAACTTAAAGTAAACTGTTTGATATTTTATAAAATTTTTATTCTGCGGCTTGCAAATTAAAAGTCTGAAAGAATTTACGGCGATAAAAGAAATCCCATATTTTCCGAGATATTACAGCACATACTTTAAGATAAATTCCACTTATATACTTACAGTCGCGCCTCATTGTAAGGAATCTAATTTCAGTTCCATCCATTCTTTTCACAATTCGGTAACTGGCTTTTATCAGTTACAAATTCCCAACTTCTGTTTGTTAGCTTCGCCAACACTTTAAGCGTTTTTCCGTTTTTTAGAACTGTTCAGAACCTTAACCAGGCTACGACTGGTTGATTTGCTTGTCTTAAGACTTTTTTATTCTGTTTTATTTGAACACATAGATATTGGTACAAGAAGGCACCAAATACATATGCGCCGCACAAATCTCATTTGATTTGTGTGAGGGCTGTGATACTGCCCGGGTGCCCAAACCGAAACAGGTGGTTCTCTTAGGGGGCCACACCCAGAGCACTCGACCTAAAGGTCTGATCCACAAGGCAGTGAAGCAACGTAAGGAGATGCAGTCCCATGGTAGCCGGTGACCAACGATTGGTTCATACTCCATTTGTTCCCTCAGGATACTGGAGTTCATGTGCTCCATTGGTTTGGAATCAGGGTTTTCCAACTCCCGTAGGTGGACCTTCCATGTCCACTAACCCGGTTAAAGCGCCGGACATTCGGTTTTCGTCCTCTGAGTTTCGTAAAAACCCCACTCGTCACGAGAAGGCAGTAAGTAGGACTTCCTTATCAATGTATGTATACGCGTGGCCGTATGAGAGCATTTCGAGAGGTAGAGCTTACTCTCCCCACTCTCGGCTATACCACGGTATTTGGGGGATTTAAGACTGTTGCATCTCTTAGTCTTATATGTGCTATTCTTATATTTATTAAAACAGTTTATTTAAATAAACTATAAATTGAAATTCACACACATTTTGCGTTTATTTTTATTTTACATCATTGAAAAGCCATATAATTGAAGAATTTTTCTTGTGGTTTAGAAATAGTCAAAAGTATACAGTTTAGTTATATGTGATATTTAAATCGTGGCTTATAGTGGAATTCAGGACACCCGTTCCTTCTTATTTAAGATATGTATGCATTTCAGTGTTCATATTCACACTGAGATTCGAACCCATTACTTGTTGCTTCAAACGTCAACTCACTATCCACTAAGCTACTAAGTTGAGTTGACAAGCCTTCAAACAACAAAAATCGTGTCCTGAATTCCACTGCTCTAGCAATAATCCATTGCTCCAGGAATCGAAGATAAACATCAAGAGAATGAATAGTACTTGGCAACATTTGGAAAAGATAGACAAGAACAGATCAGGTTGGGGATTGCTGGTTGGAGGTCTATGCTGCACGAGGAGTAACAGGAGTACTTAAGCTACAATCCAAGTATGCTAAAAATTTGTAACTGAAAAGGCTATATCAGTACAATGCTCTCAAAATCACCAATACATCAATAAAAACTAATCAGGTGTCGTTCTTCAAATCAACAACGAGAAAGTACAAACTCTAACAAGTACATAGCATGATTTGTGATCATTAGAGTTTCGATAAATTTTGTACTTTACTGCGATTACAAATTTATATATGATAGTTTGTTATTCGACCTAATAAAACGTTGTAACTAATATTGGTTTGCAATATTTAATTTTCATCCGGTTTTATTGATTTCCTCAACAATAATTTTGTGTTTGTATAGTATTCATTTTTATTTCCTTTACCTAGCATAATGCTTTGATTCTAGAACGTAAACACTGGCATCAAATCCTACTAACTGCCTTTAATGAACAGTTGAAAAGGCTTAAAATAATTCATGCAAGTGAGTTTCTTTTTCTCAAAGGAAAATTCACTAGTTCTTGTACAATTTTATCTCTCAAGTTACCAATAAACAATTATAACTGATATAATACAAGTGTGTCTGCTCAAACTATGATAGTGTTGAATTTAAAATGATAATTTCATGACTTTCAGAGGTTATTGATAAGCAGGTTTTACAAACTAGTTAGAAATATTCAAATCCAGTTTATTATAACATGTAATATGGTTTAAAAAGTCTCGATATGTCCAACCAGTCAAAATCTTATCCAAACTAATTTTGCTTTGTTTGCTTCAATTTTATATTTATTTGCGTTTGCTACATAAATTGCAATATACACTAGTCTGGGCATCTCTGACTCTTTCGTTATGTTTGTTTGAATGTGAAAAGTCATATGTACAAAGCTGTAGTGCATATGGTTCTGTTATTCACCTGTGTGACCTAAACCTTACAAGTTTGAAGTGTTCTATAGTTTTCTGTGTCCCTTCATCTCTTAGTTGTATTGTTCTGAACTGGCGGCAACACTATACATGCCATTTCAATGCCAAACTCCTTCTTGAATATAAATTCATTAGAAACTACTAGCTTTGGTAGCTAACACTCTCAATAACAGCAATTACCATATCAAACATCGTTCCCTACTTTTTTTCATCCCATTGCCTGGTCTCAAAATATAATGGTTGTACTGGATTTATATTTCTTGGATAAATCTCATCGTTCTCTGAAAGGTCCTAAAAATAACGAAAATAAATATCTCCAGTAACATCAGAATTTTGGTGGAGTTTCGTTCTCTGAGCTGGATGGTTTGGTCGTGGAGCTTTCATCGTTCTTCTGAACGACATCATCAGCACAAACTTCAGATAGAAGTGAAGTGTTTGAATTTCTCCATATGTGTCTCAAAGCTTGTTCTGTGCACCTCGACGTTGATTGATTCTTATTGACCTTAAATTTGTCGTTGTTTACTTCAAAACAAAGGAGTAAACAACGACAAATTTAAGGTCAATAAGAACCAATCAACGTCGAGGTGCACAGAACAAGCTTTGAGACACATATGGAGAAATTCAAACACTTCACTTCTATCTGAAGTTTGTGCTGATGATGTCGTTCAGAAGAACGATGAAAGCTCCACGACCAAATCATCCAGCTCAGAGAACGAAACTCCACCAAAATCATCTACCTGAGCTACAAATCTTCTCCACCACCTCAACATCAGAATTATTACCGCTGAGTTACTAGTTTCGTAGTTATTCCCTTTAATTATAGGTTATTTCCACCAAGTAGTCAGTAATTCACACTAACTTAAATTATTTTAATTTTATGTGACAGTTCGTCACATTGTCCTTTTCTTTCTTACCGAACATTTATCAAGAACTTTTATTAATTTCTTCTAGAAGGAAAACTGACAGCTTATCCATTCCTGAAGATCTTGCCTGCATCAAATTATATAGATCTGATGATTTCGGTAGTTACATTTTGCATGTTTATTTATTTAAGTGGATCATTGTTTCCCAATTACTTTGTGTTTAGTAGTTATATAATAAATTCAATTGTTGTGATTCTGAATATCTGTTTTTCGTCTTGTATATGTTCTTGTAATTTTGGTCAACTTAAATTTTTATGCATCGAAATTCTTATATCAGCTTGAACATTGTCACAAACATATTATACGAAAATCACTTGTTCAAGGAATGATATAACACTAACTGATTGTAATTAAGTGTTCTGATATACTGGTTTACGATATGACGATTCTAAGGCTTCCTGATTTGTGTGATTTCGAATAATATTTGTATTATTTCATGCTCCAACATTTTGTTGACCTAATGGTTTTCAAGTATTTCGTGATAATAGTTATTATTATTACGTCTACCTAGTAGATATTCTCTCTTACATTTTCCTTCAGGGCATTGATATGTTAATTGTGGATTCAGCTTTACAGTATACCTCCTCATCAATTGCTTGTCTTCAACTTGGTCGGCGTGTAGAACGCGCTTGTACTGTATACCGCCAAGAAAAAATAGGATATTTTAAGCAGGTAAGACAATATTTACTCCTTGTAAATGTATTTTTTTATACTGAACTTTATGAAGTAATTAAATGTCGATTATTACCTCCTGGTGTAATCATTTGAAGTCTACCATGTATTCATATCTGAAATCATCAAATGCACTCATTCTTTACCTCCCTCGAGCCTCAATATTATTTTATAATTTAGTCCACATAGTCATTTCTCTTTTCCAAACCATGTTATTCACGTGTAGACCTTTTCTCTATCATTGTCTTCACTATTACTTTACCTTATATAAAATTGATGTAACAGACTCATACGCAAATCTCTATTTAATTACACAGTTTTCGTTGTATCAGTTTAAAAAGTCTCAGCCTGAATCTCATTTTGTGTTCAGTTGTAACTTATAATTCAATCATTTAACTGAATAAAATAAAAATGCTGTAACTTACTTCGTCAGGACAGTTTTATGTATTTTTATTACTCACAGTTATATAACTTTTTCTTTACGCAGTTAATTTTTTAAGATTTGTTCAATCTGAAGAAATTTTTAAGTACTAATCGGGACCTTTTTAAAGTCTACGGAAAATAAACTAGTAAATAAGTAGCCATCCGATTATATGACTTGACTTTCCCCGTATGTAATCACTTAAACAAAACTTTTACACTGATTATTGTAACAAAATCTTTATCAGCTTATAGCTGTCATTATAGACTCGACAGAAAATTTTTGAAAGTGATTATTTGATCTATTCTATAAAAAAAAACACGAGAATGTTTCAAAATCTATTTAAAAAATACATTCGTTTCTTTCCTGTAGTTAGAAAAAATGTACATGACATATGCTACTTTGTTTAATGAACATGAAATGAAATTTTCTAATTTCCGTCATATGTGGCTATATGCTCTACAATCACGTATAGATCAAGGTCCGAATACGGTTAGTTCTATGTTGTTTTTTTTTTTCATTTGAGTTTTATTTCTTTAAATTTACTCGCAAAACTATTTTGATAATTCGGTATTTGATTATTAGTTGATTGTATTTATGGTTTCTTGATAAGTAATTAGTGTGAAACAGTGGTTTTTGAATTCTGTATTCCTCTCTTACCGTCGGTATTGAATTATTTTACGTATGATTCTTTGTCCACTCACTAAGAAGTAAATATTTGTAGCTTGTTTTTTGGATGTTGTTGTGCGCTAATTTCCTGTGAAACGTGCTTGTAGGTAGAAATACTGATTTCCTTTGGTGTATCATCTTCATCAAGGCTTGACTAGATGATTTCACTTGTCGATTGATGAACTCGATTAATCATTGAAATAAATTAAGAAGTAAACGAAAAACACGACAAGTTTTTATTTACCACAGTAAACAAACATATTATGGCGTTTAGAAAATTTGTGGATCATATATGTTAGAATTATCAGTGTAGTGGCGTTTGACAAAATCTAAACCACTTTATTACGCAACTGTCTGTAAAATTGTATAGCCTTCATCTTAACATATATATCCATGCTCATCATCAAGATTAAACAGAAACATTTCTTACTTTATTTGAATTTACTTCATAAAAGTATCGAAATTTATTGTTCCCTGTATTAGTTAGTTTCTACTGTTCAATTTTGTTTTAACTATCAGCAACATAATTGGACTTCGTGGCCTCCAACAATTCTTTTCATGATTGGTGAGGTATTATACAGTCTTATATATGAACATTTACGTTTCGACTTAAATGGCCCACTTAGAGTTCGTCATGAATTCTCAAAAAGTAATGAAAAGACAAGTAGTAATATTCGTCGTAAAGATACTCCAGCTATCTTTGAAGTTCTCGCAGAATTCCCAACTGAAGTAACTAATGAAATTAAGGTTAGTATTTGATTTTCACTATATATTTCACTGTTACGTAATCTGAAGTATCCAGTGTGTTATTATTAACTGAAATAAAATAAATTTGTTTACAATACTCCCTTTGTTTTGAATCCCTTCACTGTCGTTTGCGTACGGTTGCAAACATTACCAGTCTTACTAATTAATTAAAGACAATTAAACTAGAAATATTTTCTTCCTATAGATATCACCCACTTAATCTGTACAATTGTATTTAAAATTAATTTTTACAAACAGTAATCACGTAAAATGGAAGAAAACATTATACTTAGATCAACAATAGACAGTTTCTGTCTAAACAAAAATATTTAAATGACACGTTTACCCTTATGTTTTATTATAAACCACTGTTTGTAAGAACTTAACTACAAATAAGATTGCATAGCTGAATTGTCTTCATCTTTTTTTCAATGGAATTAGTACTAAAAACAAAATTTGATAAAAATTTCAGTCTGATACAAGTTAATCACTTTCATCATTATTATTGTCTTTTTTAGGTTCATCCAACGCTAATTAACTGGTATCGTGATGCAGATTATCCACCCTTAAGTTTCCATCCATGTGCTCTACCTATGCTTTGTCCACCAGTTCCATGGATCAATCTTGATGATGCTGGTTATTTGATTTCAAGAAGTAATTGAAAACATCTGCATCTTTTGCAATTAACTTTCCCACGATTGTTATAAAATCTTTTATAAGCTAAATCATTTAATTAAATTGATGAAGATGTTCGACTATCTACTGTGCACATATTGATTGCGTGTAGATTAATTGGACAAAAAGCAAGTGATGTGATATCGACTATCTTATCCATTGCCACGAAATGTTTACTTTTCAATTTTTTTTACAAATATAATAATTTTGTATGTATTTTTGATTCACAGCCTAGTTGATTGAGGTCGAGAATGTAGACCATTGGTTTACAATTGAGTTCTCTAATAATTAATCGCTATCCACGAGAACTAAAAATTCTCAGTGAGATCGTTGCTATTTACTTGTGAAGAGTTTCACATGCGAACGAAATCGCTGTTCAGTGTTTCTTGGATTAAAATAATGACAACAATACCTGTATTTAACATCAGTTCTCCAATATCGCAATAAATTTATGCTTAACATGCCCCAAAATTAAAATTATTCAAAATTTTCCTTTATAAATTAATTAGTAGACAATGTCTGCCACCCAGTCTCTGAAGGTTTCTATCAGTTTAGCTGCTACAACTATTTTTCCCATCCATCATTTATAAGATGAATGAATGACAATGTGCATGTCTTATTTTTTCAAGGAATAGGGAGTCTCGATAAATCCAATGTTTCCGTTTTAATTTGATAGTATCTACTATCACAATAATTTACGAGCCCTTTATTGTAAATCGTGAATGCGTACAATTAACATGAATAATTATTTAGTTCAAACAAATCTGAAACAGAAACGTTCACTCCAATATTTGCATTTGGAAAATAGACAATCTAAACATTTAATTTAGGTTGCCTTAACAATGGTGTCCAAACTAATATCAATCGGTAATAAGCACCACTTAGAAATTTACACATAGTTGGTCCGACAACTTGTTTGTTACAAATTTATTGTATAATTGTGACATCGTACATGTACTACTTTAAATCTAATCCTAAAATATTACTTCTTATTCTCAGATTATGCAACACGTCTGATTAGATGTACCAGTGTTTCATCAACAAATCCAACTTATCTTGATGACTTGGACTTTGATTGCAATCAAATTCCATCAATATTAGATGCTCTCAACTGTTTAGCTTCCTGTCCGTGGAAAATTAATAACACCGTATGTTGAACCAAGTGTTTTTTATGTGTAATGTAAACTATATATATATATATATATATATATATATATATATATATATATATATCATGGGTTTTATGGGCTTCTTTTCTTCTAGGCGAACATTTTGTCACATCTATTGTTGTGCTAAATTACTGATATAGCGGAACTGGTATTCTGACTAAAAGACTTAAAAATCAGTTCTGATTTGTTTACTATTAAGTACAGAAAAGCAAATTTGTTATTTATTTACAAGCGTTCTTCGGGGTGCAAACATCAGACACTTTACGCTATTCTTTCACTCAGTAACATTCTTTGTCAAGATTTTCAGGCATAAAAGAAAAGTGCTGGAATTAAGTAGTTCACTAAAACAAATACATGTTTCAACTTTTGTTTTCTCCTAAACGTTACTTACTTACTTACGCCTGTTACTCCTCGTGAAGGAGCATAAGCGGCTCACCAACATTCTCCATCCAACCCTATCCTGGGTAATCTTTTCCAGTTGTTATTCATCTTTTTCATCTCTGCTTCTATTTCCCGACGTAATGTTCTTTGACCTTCCTCTTTTCCGCTTCCCTTCAGGATTCCAAGTCAGGGCTTGCCTCGTGATGCAGTTTGATGATTTACGTAATGGATGTCCTATCCATTCCCATCGTCTTTTCCTAATTTCCTCTTCAACTGGAATCTGATTTGTTCTCTCCCAAAGAAGGCTGTTGTTGATGGTGTCCGGCCAATGGATGTTGAATATCTTGCGTAGACAGCTATTTATAAATACTTGTACCTTCTTGATGATGGTTGTTGTAGTTCTCCATGTTTCAGCTCTGTACAGTAGAACGTTGATATTGAAGATTGGTATTGTAAATTCTGACTTTGATATTGGTCGAAAGTTGTTTTGAGCTCCATATGTTCTTCAATTGTAGGAATGCGGCCCTTGCTTTGTCAACCCTCGCCTTTACGTCTGCATCTGAACCTCCTTGTTCGTCGATGATGCTTCCGAGGTATGTGAAGGATTCTACATCTTCCAGAGTTTCGCCGTCAAGAGTGATTGGATTGCTGTTCTCCGTTTCGAATTTGAGAACCTTGGTTTTCCCCTTGTGTATGTTGAGACCTACTGATGCAGAAATTGCTGCTACACTGGCTGTCTTTATCTGCATTTGTTCGATAGGAGGGCTAGGTCATCTGCGAAGTCCAAATCGTCTAATTGGTTCTGTGATGTCCGTTGTATGCCGTATTTTCCTCTGATGTCGAGGTCTTCATAATCCAGTCGACCAGCAGAAGAAAGAGGAAGGGAGAGAGTAGACAACCTTGTCTGACTCTGGTCCCTACTTGGAATGTATCTGTCAGCTGTCCTCCATACACTACTTTTCATTGTAGTCCGTCGTATATGTTCCGGATAATGTTGACAATCTTCTCAGGAACGCCGTATTGTCGAAGAAGTTTCCATAATGTCCTCCTATCTACACTGTCGAATGCCTCTTCATAATCAATGAAGTTGATGTACAGTGACGAGTTCCACTCAATCGATTGTTCGACGATGATCCGTAGTGTGACGATTCGGCCTGTGCACAACCGATCCTAACGGAATCCAGCTTGTTGATCTCGAAGTTGGGTGTCTACTACATCTTTAATCAGGTTCAGGAAAACTCTGTTAAAGACTTTCCCTGGTAGTGACAGTAGTGTGATGCCTCTGTAGTTTTCACATTTTCTCAGATCTCCACGAAAGTAATAATCATTTGAACACATCCATTTAAACTCAGATCTTATCCCTGTGCTTTCCAGAAACAGAAATTATCATACTAAGCGAACTTCAGGCAAAAATTGATGTCATGCTTAATCAACAAAAAATCACATTGGATGTTTTACTGTGTGAAAATCACATTAAAAGTCAATGCACAATCTTACTGTTATTTTCTCAATTTAACACCCCCTAGCTAAAAATTCCCTTCCTTAATAGCAGCGTAAAACGTAAGAGTATGTAGTTGATCCTTTAGTCTTGTACACACAGCGGTCTCTAGCATAACCGAAATTCTTCGAAATTTCCAGTTTCTTTTCATATTATGCAAATCATCATCAAATTAGTCAGTCACAGTTCTTCATGATCAAATTTTGTTCCGTAAAGTGTGTGCGTCATTCTCCTGTAAACCATGTTCTCGATTTTCACCATCTAGTCTATCGTTACGTAGTTTAGAAAAAAAGTCGCTGTACTTCAGCAATAAAAAATAAGATTTCCAAAATACACTAAATTCATTTTGTGTTAAAGCGTCTCATCAGTTGTAAATAAACTGCTTAAAGTTCCAACAACTATTAAACCAATCCAACTACACTATTTCAATCATAAAGAATAGATTATTATTTTATTTATTTATTTTAACACATAGTTATTGGTACAAGGAGGCACCAAATACATATGCGCCACACAAATCTCATTTGATTTGTGTGAGGGCTGTGATACTGCCCGGGTGCCCAAACCGAAACAAGTGGTTCTCTTATGGGGGCCACACCCAGAGCACTCGACCAGAAGGTCTGATCCACAAGGCAGTGAAGCAACGTAAGGAGATGCAGTCCCATGGTAGCCGGTGACCAACGATTGGTTCATACTCCATTTGTTCCCTCAGGATACTGGAGTTCATGTGCTCCATTGGTTTGGAATCAGGGTTTTCCAACTCCCGTAGGTGGACTCTCCATGTCCACTAACCCGGTTAAAGCGCCGGACATTCGTTTTTAATCCTCTGAATTTCGTAAACGACACCCCCGTCACGAGAAGGCAGTAAGTAGGACTTCCTTATCAGTGTATGTATATGCGTGGCCGTATGAGAGCATTTCGAGAGGTAGAGCTTACTCTCCCCACTCTCGGCCGTATCAGGGCATTTGGGGATGTAGTATAACTGGAGAGTTCGAAAAATCAAGACCACTGCTAGTTGATGTATGATTTGTTCAGTTGTTTTTGAAGCACAAGTCACTCATGTTAAGTAATATGTGATTTAAGATTGACTGTACGCTTCACATTTTAGTTACTAAATCTAGTATTTTATCAAATTATCGTCAGATTTTAGACTATCTTATTCAAGTGGCACGTTCTGGTGGCAACGAAACTCTCAATATTCCCGAATGGAGAAGTAAACCTAAACGTGTGGATTTGAGAAAGTTAGTTTTCAAGAGAGATTAATTATTCATACATGTTCATTATTAGTGTAAAACTTGAATCTGTGTTTTTCATTCGCTCTTAAAAAGTATGTGTGTGCACATTTTTTGTATATCACAAATGAATCTTCTAACATATACCTCTTCATAGAATTATCTTTCTATGACTTATTCTTTACTGAATTTATCAAACGTTAAGACATTTAATTGGGATTTTATACATATTTACCCACATATTATTGCTGTCATTAAAATTTAGACTAATGTTGATCTTGAGGTAGCTAACTAGTTGCATTTGTTGCAGTGATCAATTTCATAAACGGTAGCACTTATGAATTGTTATAATGAGCTGATTGTAAATCCAATTACTGCACAATGTTTTGATTACTTATAGTAAGAATAAACATACTTAAAAAAAGTAACATTGGTGCTTTAAAGTTTTTGTTTTAATGTCATTAGTTCACCCAACATAACTGTATCTTCTCTTCTCAACTACCTTGAGAATAGTCTACAATTTTCTTCGTGAACACTACTAGGCTACAGTATGAAGCAGTTTTTCTGTGCCAATTTCATCAGACAGAAACTAGTGTCAAAACTCTATCAAAGTGTTGAGTCTAACTAGCAAAATCCCGTATTTTTGATAGTCTCTTCTCTTATTTTTCCAGTAATCAACTTACTGTTGAGTATGAAGATGATTTCTAGTGCCTCCCGATTCATCTGGGTAGTAAATCTTTGATATTATGCTTCGTATATAAGTAGCTAGGGTGTGTTGTTAGTAAACTTTCGAAAAGAATGTTATCTAACTTGTAAAGAATATATTTGATTAGAGTTATTTGTCCATTATACTTTCCACTGAGGCATCTCTCGTAATTTATGTGTATACTATCCATTTCAATGTAATTGCAAAATTCCATCATCACTTTCTACAGAGCACTTATTGCACAGATATATATGAACATTGAATAAACATGATAGTGTGATGGGAAGGTTATAATACTGGATTATGTAGTGTAAATAATAACAAATGTGCAAATGAAAAACCTTGTAAAATCAATGAGTTAACGATGAATTATATTATGATGAATGGAGTGGCATAATTAAGATGTTTTCTGTCAAAATAATTAAAGCTGATACAGAGGGATTAAATTAAATGACTAAAATCATGCGGATATGGGAAATAAGTTAAGACCATAGTGAGCATATATACACACTTCCACCTTCATTTCATGGATAGGAAGTGCTTTTGCTTTAAGGATTACAAACCAATGGAGCACATGAGCTCCAGTATCCTGAGGGAACAAATGGCGTATGAACCAATCGTTGGTCACCGGCTACCATGCGGCTGCATCGCCTGACGATGCTCCACTGCCTTGTGGATCAGACCTTCTGGTCGAGGGCTCGGGGAGTGGTGCCCTAAGAGAACCACTTGTTTCGGCTTGGGCACCCGGGCAGTATCACAGCCCTCACACAAATCAAATGAGATTTGTGTGGCGCATATGTATTTGGTGCCTCCTTGTACCAATAACTATGTGTTAAAATAAATAAATAAATAAGGAGTTATATACGAAGAAATCTGTGTAAATTTAGACGAATTGTATCCGCAACCTTAAAACCAACTCGCGGACCGGTGAAGTGATTACATTAGATTCAATCCCAAGGAATAGAACTCCTAACCGCTTTCCTCACGCCTGTAGAACCACACTGGGACATGTTCTTGTATCTGAGTTGAAAGCAAGATCTGGCTACGGCTTATGTACCTTGCTGCACTAGAGCAACTGACAAATACACATCCTTCTCTATATTATCTGTATTTTACATAATTATCTTGTGTTCTTTGAATATATATGTGTATATTGTAGTGATATGACCGCCAAAGAACGTCGGCTCGCCTACAGAAAATACCATGAGGATAGACAAGATTATGGTGAATTTTGTTCACTGTGGAGCACTGAACTGTACAGACTATCTATAGCTAATCAAGTATGCTCCTTCACTATAAAATTGTTTTTGTTAATTTTTCAAATTATGTCTTCAATTTCTGTTTTGATTTACGTTCCCAGTAAAATCTCATATCCAAATGTTCTGTCAAATAAATTGTCCACCAATAGATCTTGTTTTATTCTCAAACTATACTGAGTCATTTCGTACACCATCAATATGGTATTACAATTATAATTGTAGAATCTATACGATGGTTCTAATATAACGACTAAGTCAAATGTAGAAATTCTAAATTGAGAAGGGAATTCAATAGAAACATTTGATATTATTTCTAAGGTCGATCCTACAATCTATTTCAATTCAGTGTGTCTATACGTATATGAGCTGCTGCTACTCTCTTAGTTGTATCTACTAACGACGTAAATTTAACGCATTTGTTTTTGACACATGTTAATAATTATTTGTTTCTATTTATAAATCTTTCCTTTTGATAGTATCGTGACAAAATTATTTGGTTTCCACATAGTATGGATTTCCGTGGTCGTGTATATCCTTGTCCTCCCCATTTCAATCATACCGGTATGTAATCTAATATCCTGTGTGCATTTCTTAGGTTGATTAAGCTTTTCCGTATTTTTGTTACAAGCGTATGATAAGTTTCCTCACAATATATGAGCTTAGAGAAAGATAAATGGTTTTCAAAAGTATAATTATATCAGTATGTAGTTTTCTGGAGGTTATTCATTAAAAACGCGAAGTTCAGTGAAGGGATCTCTTCAACGAATTTATTATAAGGCTGTACAATCGTATATGTTATAAGTACTGGTTCCATGAGGGCATATGAACAAGGAATGGACATGATGAGGCAATCGAAAGGTTATAATACCAGACTACGTAATATGGATGATAACAATGAAGTTGATAAGCTAGAAACCAGTTACAATGTGAATGCAGTAAGATGATTAAAATGCTTTTATTGTAATAATAACGATAGGATTTACTTTTTTGTACACACAATTCTGGCTTGAGCTCATAGACGGTAAGAGCTTCTGTTGTTTTAAGGAGTTGAATACGAAGAAATATAGGTAGATTTGTACGAATTGTATACACAACGTTAAAATCAACCAGTGGATCGATAGAATGGTTAGAGTCCATTAGATGTTCAAGAATGGAACTTCTAACTTTCCTCTTACCCTTGTAAAATCACACTGGGACATGCCCTCGTATCCGAGATGAAAGCGAGCGCTGGCTACGGCCTATGTACCTTGCTTGATTGCCACCGCTATCATGAGCCAACCTCAATTAGACATTCACTAAAAACCAGTAGCCACTAGACGACTTCACAAAGCTCTATGCTGATAATTATCATGTCTTCACTAGTGGCTAATTTCAAGAGACAGTTCTACATAACTGAAAATCTATGGTCCATTAGGTGATTCTGATGAGTAGTCATGTATCAGATTCACTAAAATAACCGTTGTGTTCACTTGAATAACGTACTCGAGGTCTGTTTGAGTCAGAAGATTGTCTTGTTTACTCGGATATATATACGGTTCTACAATAAATCATTACTAGTTAAATTTAAGCTCAAATTCATGATGATAAGACAACAACAGCAGTCAACCGTTAACCCAGCGTAAAAAATGGGTTAAAAATGGCTGTCCACGCAACATAAGTTCCGACCAATAAGAACATAGCTGGTTTGTCGATAATCAGTTTAACCAATAAGATATAAGAAAAGGGGATAAACCCTGATTACTAATAAGTAATATGGTCCTAAAACGAGAATTTCTCACCATGATCAGTGAGCTGCAAACGAGTTGGATGTGAGGCAATTAACCAAAGAAAACAATGGAAGATAGTAGCTCAATATCATGAAGTGGTAGACACCATTTGGTTCCGGCTTAGTGATCTAGAGGTTAAGCGCTTATGCACGAGATATGAATTCCTGAGTCCGGTCCTCCATGGGATCGTAAGTCCTCACTGCTAAACTGTTTCATACTAGGACGGAGTAACTGTCCAGTGCTCCCCGGTTTTGAATGGATGTCTAACTTCGGTCGATTTATGACATCGATAGTATAACCATATTATTGAGATCTGATTAAATGATTAATGTTCAATCATGACACTTCGACAATCCAATAACAGACACTTATAAATAAATCAAAATGTATTGATAAACAGATTTTTAAAAAGTGAATATGATCTAATAAAGCACTCATATTTGCCAAGAAGAATAGCGAATGCATTTGTCCCCTTTTCATCGCTTTATAGTCTTATGACACTAATTTTCACCAAAAAAATTCACGTGTTGTAAATCAGTATCAAGCATTGACGTCCCCCACCTGCACCTTGTATGTTTCTGTCCTACTGTTTCTCTCATATGGATCTTGTGTAACCCCTCTGCCAAAGATATATGTGATACTATCCGGCTTCTCAAGCCATAGTCAATCAGTCGTTAGCAACTCAAAATATGTTACATGTGCATCGGTTCGATTCGCTACATCATATCCGCACAAAGATATAAAATGATTTTAAGACAATTACAAAATAAATAGATACAGTAACATAATAGGTGGGATTTGAAAAACTAGGTATAACCAGTATAATTCGAACATAAAACTTATGAAATTATTGTAAAACTTAGTCAAAGAGAACATAAAAAGTAAATGCTTCTGCACCACTGTGGTCGGCCCTAAGACATACCACCGAACATTTTCAACCACTGATCACTCAGACCCTAACCAGACAGTCTACATCTACCAACACACTGATTTCATGGACTAACGCCATATCTCGCTTTGGCCTCCACTATCTCCTAACTTACTCCTAAAGCATACAAGTTAGATGGTGCTTGGACATATGTGAATACATGTCCCAACCACCACAGTCGATGGAGATTTACAACCTCAATAACCGATTAATCGAATTTACCTAGCACCATGTGTCTTGCATCTGCATTGTTCATTTAATGGTCCCAACATAAATGACCAACGCTCTAAGGGCATCTATAGTCAAATAATTGCAATCTGTAGATATCTCCTATTTTTAAAGTCCACGTTCCACAACCATAAACGAATATAAAACCTAAAGCATGCCAGATAGGATAGGGTCTGGATCATCAACCTATAGGTTGAAAGTCAACTCTTCTAACCACCAAAGCACTCCTCCATTTTCATTATGGAGACTAGGCATCAAACTATGAGGTTCCTGAAACTTTGTAATATTGCTAGTTGCTCACAAAGTATCACATTGCTTTAATTATTCAGTACTTTAAAAATAAACACTTTTATCTCCTCATTTCTTTCCCATGTAAAAAGTACTTTGTACACTTCAGATCAGTTTTTTAGTTTGCTTAACTTCAAATTGTTGTATCTAAATTTAAAAGCGATAATTAATCAAACTGTAAGTATAGGTATTCATTTAATTTTTTTAAATTCGATAAGCGTGATGTTTTGCTTACTTACCGAATAAAAGAAACAAGTGGTTTTTGTACCACAATACTATGCATATATAGCAAATGATAGTCACTTTTATACTTCTAGTGATTACATCTGATTGTAAACTAACTTTATTTGGTATGAATCTTTAAAATATTATATAGGCAAGTATAACGTGAAATATTTTTCAACTCTTATCCATTTAGGTAGTGATGTGGCTAGAAGTCTTATTGTATTTGCAAAGGGATTACCTCTTGGTCCTAATGGCCTAGATTGGCTTAAAATACACTTAGTCAATTTAACAGGTTTAAAGAAGAGGTAAGAGGTACATTGTTTTAAATAAACAATGTACTAATATATCATGAAAATTTCAAATTTATTTGTTTCTTTTCTAGAATAATAAACCAATAAGTTAATCTTGTACAAATTTTATCAAATATACTCGTCCATTGTTCACAACATCTTATAATTAATTGTACAAATATCAACTGTTTAATGTTTGCGTAACCAATATACGTATTTCATTCCAAGTCGTTTAGCAGCTCTCAGTCGGCTACAACGTAGGACCAGGCACTTATGTGCATCCGTCCAAGTTGCCATATCTTAATAGCACAAGATGAACACCTAATTCATAGAAGTATTTACTTCAATAGTAGTTATATATAAAAGAAAGATTGCATATAAGAATATAATACAGGAATAAGGAATTAGTCGGTAGAAAGAAAGATATAAATCAATTTTAATCTCATGGTTTGAGGGACGACAGAGTGTATACACCGACGCCATTGCGATCGATTTTGAGCCACGCCACCCAATCTCTAACCACTGGTTACGATAGTCGTGCGGACCCCAACCAAGTAATCTACATCTACCAACATGGCTAAGACTAGGAGTTAGCGATTCTAAGAATTGATGCCACGTTTTGGTTTGGCCACCCCTAACTTTCTTCCAACACTAGTTAGCATTGCGCATCGTGGTAATCAGTGTTTAAACATGCGTAACACGTGACCCAACCATCTCGGTCGATGAAGATTCCCAACCTTATCAACTGATTTTCTATCATTCCCTAATATCCTGCGTTTAACCTCACTGTTACTCACCCGGTGATCTCAGCAGATGCTGGCAATATTTCTAAGGCATCTGTAATCAAATACTAATAACTTACGAGTATCCTCTACCCTTAATGGCCACGTTCCCCAGTCGTAAAGTAGGACAGAACGAACTGCTGTGCAGTATACTCGTCCCTAAACTGGTAGACGGATATCTCTTTTTCTCCATAAGTAACGTGAATTGGCAAAACGAGCTTTCTGAATCCGTGCAGAGATTTTGTCAGACATCAACCCATTAGTGTTGATCAAACTTCCAAGTTACGCGTTCAACTACTTCACTGCCTATCCTTAGTTCAGGTGTTGGCACAGGCCAAACAGGACTATATCGTTTGATATCTCTATAAACTGTTAAATGAAAACGCATTTATACTTAGCTTCTAAACTACATAATCAATTAATGTTGAGTTTCACATTTCATAGAATAAAAAGCAGACGGTTACTGTATAAATAGATTATAGAATTGCTTAACTATTATACAGATATAACAAACCACAAGATAATAATGATAATATTGAAACCATTATGCAACATCGTAGACAAAAAGACAAGCAATACAGCTTTAACAATGGTACAATAATTTTTCAATTCCTACTTCTTAAAATTAAAGCTGTTTTTTCTTACTATCATTTAGATTGTTTGAAGCTAAAAAAATTTTGTAGTTTTATTGTTAACTAACTACAAAGTATATTCATTGCTACTTTACAATATATAAATGTTTGGTAATCATTTGTCTTTACTTCTTCTCTTAATTTATTAGTAGGATTCCCTAAATAAAAAGATATTCCTAGTTATAATATGTATAGTCAATTAGTTTTAGTGTTAGCTATTGTACATTTTTTGTCTTTGCTTTCTAACGAACAAGTATCTGATTATCACATGTATTTGTGCTAATTTCTTTGTCTATAGTTATATAACTTTTTAATAGAAAAAGCAAAAAACAAATTAACTTCATTAGTAATGCTACTCAATTTTCCTTGTTAGATGCACCCACTCAGAACGTTTAGAATATGCCGATTCTATAATGAATGACATTATTGATTCTGCTGAGAAACCATTTGATGTAAGTTTGCTTATCATCAATATATATACTTCTTTATTAAAGGTTTTTTCATTGGTAAAGGAAAATGGTTGTGCTCATTAATAATTTTTGATTTTTAAAAAATACTCTTGAACTATTTCTATTTGATTATTATTATTTATTTATTTATTTGAACACATAAATATTGGTACAAGAGAGCGCCACACAAAACAATGAGAATTCGAAGACAAAAAAGAGGTAAGGAGCGTGAAAAAAAAAGAGAACAATAACGAAGAGATTGGTGTAAGGTAATGTGCTAGTAAACAGGGAACGCAAAAGTACAATCGGAAGAAATCTTTCAGGTAAGGGAGACACAACCACTTTTTATGAAGAAAGTAAAAGAAGGTTACAACAGGATCGCCGCTGGCTTCTATTATGAGCCATATCTGATAACGTCTCTAGCCACTGTGTAGCACCATCTCTGAGACCCCAACCAGGGAGTCGTGAAGGACCGACAGAAGCCAGCCCTTTGCAGCTTTCTTTCATGTCACGACATCATGTCATGCACTGACCACCTCTCCGCTTCTTCCAACCAGTCCCAGAGTCGGCAAATAATGCACGACGTGGAATTCTCTGGGACGACATTCGGAGAACATGTCCAAGCCACCGAAGTCGGTGTTTCAAGATGGTGACACCAATTGAATTATCATCTCTGTGCCCGAACACACGATGCCGAACCTCTGCATTACTGACATGGTGTTGCCACTGGATGTCAGCAATCCTTCGGAGACGGCGATGATCGAACACAGAGAGTCGTCTAACGTCCTCAACTCGGAGAGGCCAGGTTTCACAAGCACAGAGCAAAACTGCTCTCACCGACGCGTTGTAGATCCGACCTTTTACAGCCAGACTAACATCACGAAGGCGCTAAAGGTGGCCCAGATTGGCATAAGCCGCTCTGGCTTTCACTATACGTGCATTGATCTCATCACTCACACCCCCACCAGCACTTATGCAGCTACCCAGATACACGAACTTCTCGACTACTTCTATCTGCTCACCATCCAGGGTGAGTACAGGATTGGAATCCTGCCAGTCTTATAGAAGTACTTTACACTTCGAAGGTGCAAAGCACCGTACATACGGACATTGATTGCCAACTGATTAAGTGCGGATTGCATGCCTTGGGCATTATCGCACAGTAAGACAATATCATTCGCATACTCAAGGTCGAGAAGTCTTTCTCCAGACAACAGATCCACATCGCCATTACTTACATCCATCAGAGCTGTTTCCAGAATGTCATCGATGGCAAAGTTGAAGAGGAATGGTGAGATTGGGCAACCCTGCCTAACCGCAATGCTTGAATGGAACAGTGGAGAGAGGTAGTTGCATGTCTTCACTCTACCTGAGGTGTTTGAATATAGGGCATTTAAGATGTTAATAAACTTCTCAGGCACACCCTTCTTCAATAGACAATCCCAGAGAACAGTCCTGTCCAACGAATCGAAGGCAGCCCTGATGTCAAGAAACACTACAACTGTTGGCCTTTATTAAGTATGACAGTGTTCTAACAGTTGGTGGAGGGTGACGATATGATCAATATATCCTCGACCAGAACGAAACCCAGCCTGCTCCTCGCGAGTCAATCTTTCTCGGGTTTTGAACAACCTACGAAGTATGACGGAAACCAATAGCTTGGACGCAATCGGAAGTAGACTTATCCCCCGATAGTTGTTGCAGGAACGACGTGAACCCTTTTTAAAGATAGGGACAACTATCGACTCATTCCATGACGATGGTACACTCTCTAGCTCCCAAACCTTTGTAAACAACGTCGTCAGTTCCTTAGTCAGAAAGTCACCACCATCTTTAAAAAGGGCCGGAGGTAAGTCATCTGGGCCAGGTGATTTGTAGCGCTTCAAGAGTTGGAGTTCCTTGCGGACTTCCGCCTCATTTAGTGGATCAGTCGTCACCGGTCATGAAGGGCAGGACAGTCTGACCGGTGTTGCCAGAGCAGCAGGCCAGTTGAACTGCCCTTCGAAGAATTCCGCCCATCGTCCAAGACGTCGATGGATTTTAGTGGTTGGCATCCCGTCATCTTCGCAGATTGTTTCACTCACACCAGACTTCTTGCTGCCAGTGGCTCGGATGAATTGGGAGAGCTTCCGGTAGTTACCAGATGCAGCTGCTGCTCCGACCAACCAGGTCTCTCGGTCCTTACGCAAGCTTTTCTCAATTTAATTAGGTAACAGTCGTCGTTTGTGTTCAAACTCACGGTTACCCGGAGTAGACCAATGGGCTTCAATGAGTTGTAAAGAACCAGAAGAAACCCAGTGTTTATAAGTGGGGAGTTTCGCGAGAGGCTTTACTCGCCATTTTGATGGCGTCGTGAAGTTGCAACCAGTGATCGTCCATACTTTCCGGTGGAATGGTAGCTAGCCAAGAAGCTAGCCCGGTCCGATACTTACTAGCAACAGAAGTTGCAACCAGTTTGCTGACATCAATCCTTGGTGGAGGTCACTTCGTTGGCCACTGAAAAGCAAGATAAGATTGGCGCAGACCAAGGCATGATCAGAGTCCAGATCGGTACTCCAAAAGGAGCGGTAGTCTTGTACACAACCATACCAGCGGTAGCTGATCGCGATGTGACCAATCTGAGTCCAGGCTTGAGATGCAGTGGAGGGACGCCAGGTGGCACATCGGCGATGACTGTGCCGAAAGTTAGTGCTAGCCAGAAACAGGTTGTGGTCTGTGCACAGTTGCAGTAGACGGTCCCCGTTATCTGTCCTGCGACCAACAAGTCCCCATCGGCCACATAAACGATTCTCTTCTGTGCCAATTATGATGAAGTGTCTGCACCTAGACGCCCGAGATGAGCGTTCAAGTCTCCGGCTAGTACTAAAATACCTGTCGAACGCACTTTCTGGAGAAGAACAGTTAACTGGCAGTAGAATTCATCCTTGATTGCATCCGGGCTGCAATCTGTCTGGGCATAAGCGGAGATGACGAAAAGACATCGTTTCTCACACCGATTTTTTCTCACTTTGATGGAACTTTTTAATCTAACAGCACATGACCGACTGTTGATGAGGATCCAATCGATTAGTGCTGCCTCAGCTCTAGCGCTTAGTGCGACACCAACGCCAGCCAGACCAGACGAAGTTGCCACAGGGTCCCCGGATAAACACACGTAAAACAAGCTTTTCGAAGCGACAGATGGAGAGCGAATTTGTAGTACTTCACCAGAGTCTTGAATACGGGTCTCGGATAGACAGCAGATATCGATATAAAGACTGTCCAAAGACATAGCTAGCCCTATCTGTTGTCCAACCTGCAAAGTATGCGAACGTTGAAGGCAGCCAGTTCGAATGGTGCACGTGGTTTCAGAAAACTGCTTCAGTACTCATATTTAGTGGAAACATACAATTTTCAACCGGACAGTGACTCGAGAACGTTTAGATACAGTCGAATTTCCACCAAAGACGAGCCGCTGTATAAGTATAAAAGAGGGTGAATAATGTGGAAAATAATAATAATAATGATAATAATTTGAATCATTTGATTGTTTTTCGAAGCGAGAAAAGTTGTTTCCATAGATATAGAGAGTTCATCATTTGCGTGTGGGCTGTGATACTGCCCGGGTGCCCATACCGAAGCAGGTGGTTATCTTAGGGGGCCACACCCCGAGCCTTTGACCTAAAGGTCTAACCCACAAGGCAGTGAAGCAACGTAAGGAGATGCAGTCCCATGGTAGCCGGTGACCAAAGATTGGTTCATACGCCATTTGTTCCCGCAGGATAGTGGAGCCCATGTGCACCATTGGTTTGGGATCCGGTTAAAGCGCCGGACATTCGCTTTTCGTCCTCTGAATTTCGTAAACAACACCCCCGCCACGAGAAGGCAATGGGTAGGACTTCCCTGGCAGAGGCTGTATACGCGTGGCCGTGTGAGAGTATTTCGAGAGGGAGAGCGGACTCTCCCCACTCTCGGCCGTACCAGGGCATTCGGGGGCATTTGATTATTTGTGTTTATTAAATCATTTGCTGTCAAATGACGACGAACTCTGCGGTCAAGATTGAAGTCTTCCAATTATTTTCAAGGTACAGTAGCGACGTAGTCTATAATCTCCCTCCTAGCTTATTTGTGGTATTCCATATATTAATGTTTAATGTCTTGATCATCATCACTCTGATTACTATTTCGGTGATTGATCTTATTAATAGTATTAATAGTATTGCTTCGTGTTTATCAAACTTCATAGTTTAAGTTTTATGTTGGGTTAGAATTTCATCAATTTAACTCCATACATTGAGTAGTAGATGACAAGCACCATTCAACTATCTATCTTTGGTGACCTAACATTAATTATTTTGTAATACTCAATTACTATTTTTTGAAATGATCAATGAAGTGAAATAAATTTTTATTCTGTTACCTATTATAATGACATATATTTACTTTTTTAGTAAAATAATGTTAATACAACCTTATTGTCTAATTAATCTTAATTTCTCAGCACTAATCAGATCATTGTACCTGGTAGAACTATAAGACGAGCATTCGTATAAATCAGTTAGTCCTCCTAAAGGCAATTCTATTTCTCACTGGACACTATTTAAATAATGAAAAACATCTACTTCACTAATTGTCTTGTCATTTATACTGTCCAGTATTTCTCGATTTCTTTTATAGGGTAGGAGATGGTGGCAAAATCAAGCAGAGCCATGGCAAATCTTAGCTTGTTGTATCGAATTAAAAAACGCTTTGTCACATCCATCTGGACCAGAATCATATGTTTCTCATTTTCCTGTTCATCAAGATGGTTCTTGTAATGGATTACAACATTATGCCGCCTTAGGCCGTGATCTTCGAGGTGCAAAATCAGTTAATCTTACTAGTATGGATTATCCACAAGATTTGTACAGTGACGTTGTTGAAATCGTAAGTATTCATTAGTCTGTTTACACAACTCTATATTCTTATCTAGAAGTGTTATATTTAATGCATATTTTAACTCGAATCTTTCCCCTTTTACTAGGTAGAAGAACAAAGGCGTATCGATGCTGATGGCGGGAACTCTATTGCTAAAACACTTGAAGGTTTTGTTCGGCGTAAAGTTATCAAACAGTCTATAATGACTACGGTTTATGGTGTTACTCCATATGGGGCTACTGAGCAAATCCGTAAACAACTTCGCGACCTACCTGATTTCCCCAAAGAGTCTTTACTCCCTGCTTCTAGATATTTGGCTCGTTTAACACTGAATAGTATCGAAAAAGTTTTTACGTCTTCAGTTGATATTCAAAATTGGCTTTGCAAAGTAATCATCTTGTCGATTGATGTCTCACTATTCTTATTGTAACGGTTTATTTTATTCTTTATGTGACTTGATTTTCAATAATATTTTCGGTTTATCATATAGCTGAACTCACCATTATTCCTTTTAGGAATTTTTCACAGTTTTGTCTCAATAACGTCCTTTAAAAACAAGAATTTACTATAGTAAGACGAGTTACTCATTTAATCTAATATTGAAATTCATCACTACCATCCACATTTCAGTGATTTTCACTGTTATATTTGCATTCTGCGTAAAATATCTATCACATTCTGTAATTTTCTTCTAAAGCAGTTCTTCTTAGTCAAAGCACTGGAACTTCAACTGTTAAGTTACAAATTTTAACATCACTTCACCTATGTTGTGTCATTTAAGTAGTATAGTTATTTTTTACAACGTGTAGCCTAAACGAGGATATAGAAGTTAGTATCCCGTTACTGTGTTTTTACATTAAATCTTACAGTTGCATGCCTATGAAGATTTTGAAAGACGTTTTAAAACTTCAGTATTTTCTCATATAGGTTTTATAATATAGGTTACTCTATTCTGTAATGTTTTCTCGATGCTGTCAGTTACAAGTAAACCTAATAATATTCGTTGCTATGGTTCATGTAATTTTCAGTATCGTTCAAGAACTTACCATGATAACATGCTTCTAGGCTATGGTAAAATTTTTATTCATTAATGAAAGGAATTTATCCAAAATACACACTACCATAGTTAGCTCCATTTCGGGTTACTTATTTTTTACTTTCCTTCAGGCATCATAAATATGACATTTCATTAGTTACAAAATACGCTTACCCTGAAGTATATTCACAGTGAGTGAACAGACGGGTAACAGTATTCAAAGCATAGAACAAGAAAATTAGTAAATGATAGGAGTTATAAGGAAAAAAGAGACATTGAAATCATGAATTGATCAATGTTAGACCACCATTGAAAACATAGAAGCACAAGACGGCTGTTTATTTCTTAGTATGGGACTTCTCAGCAGTGCATATCTTCGATCCTGCACATGAGATTCGAATCCGGGACCTTTGGTCTAGCTCAAACGCCTAACCTCTAGACCACTGAATTGACATTCACACAGGGCTAATGTCTAACTTTAATAAACCCACGATGTGGCGCGACCATCTTCCGTTGGATGTCGGCTCAATGGTCTAGGGGCTAAGCTTTTGCGCAAAACCGAAGGTCAATAAATCGAACCCCATGTGCAGAATCGTAGATGAGCACTGCTCTCAGGTTTACAATGGCGGTCAGATTTAGATAGGTTCATGATCTCAATAAAATTCAGCAATTTCCACAATCCCAAACCAAAAAATAGAAATACTTCCAACAAAATACATTAATAATCTTTCATCGCCTTTTACTTACGGCTTAGTCATTAGTCGTAATCAATCTTAAACCTGACACATATGTACGTCAGCATCACGAGAGGAAATTGATAAGCTGAATTAACAAAGAAGTCGAAATAACCGTAGTGGCCAATGCGAATGACTAAACATTGAAGATATGGTTCGAGAAGTAGTGGAACTCAAGATCTGAAGGAAGAATAAATGTGAATACATATGCACTGCCGCTACCTATTCTGAGCTGTCACCCAACATTTCCAACCACTGATCACGCAGACCCTAACCAGGTAGTCTGCTGATATTGTTCAAACCAACTATCAATAACTTTGTAAACCGATGCCACATCTTTGTTTGGCTGCCCTTATCTTTCTTCCAACTTAATATCACTCCAGTCAAAATTGCAATGGTTATGGACATGTTGTACATGTCTCAGTCGATAGAAATTTTTAGCTTTATATACCAATTTGTCATTTTTTATCTAGCATTGCCCATCTAGTTATGTCACAATACACAAGCAATGTTTCGATGACACCTGTGATCAAAAACCATCAGTCTACTGAAGTACTTTACTTTCGCAACCCATGTTTCACATCGATAGAGAATTACAGGGCAAACTGCCGCGCAGTTTATCCGCGATTCTGTTTGGATATAGTTATCCCACCTACACTACATGTGAAGCAAGTTGGTAAAATCCAAAAAAGCTTCCTTAATCTGTCCCAAGACTTCATTGGACACCAACGCATTAAAGCTAATGAGACCTCCAAGATAAATACAATGATCACTTTTTGTCGATTATTAACTCTTCCTGTACAATATGATACTTATTTACTGAGTTTTCAGGTATCAATGCCAAAGTTGAATTTGTTGGTTTCAAATAAACTGAGCATTGGGAGAAAGTTATATATATATATATATATATATATATATATATATATATATATATATATATATATATATATATATATATATACTCATTGGAATATCACGAATAGTATATTTATTGATACTGAATTACATTTTAACCTTTACGTTTGTCTCCATAAAACAGAGTACTCATACTTCACACCACTCTAACGGGAATGTATTATTCAACGTTAAAAATGACTCAAGAACAAATTAGTGGAAACCAAGTAGGATAGGAAATCATCTACAGGGTATATTATTTTTACCTGCTCTATTGAACTGTATAAGGATGGAGAGTTGTGTGAAATGAATCAGATAACTAAACAAAATATTATATGATTAACTTAAAATCCAGATATGATTCCGACCCAGTTGTGTAGAACATCAAATCAGTAATTGAGAGCTTCTTGATTCCAATTCACCTATGTCTTATGATTTCCGAGTAAGTGGTATGTAAAAATTTGTTTCAAGTCTAATTTACTGGTATTTTTTACTTTTCTCTTAGATTGCCAAATATATATCTGGAGATTTACATCATAGAGTTAGCTGGCAAACCCCTCTTGGTCTACCAGTTATACAACCATATATCCAGTCAAATAAAAGTTCGACTGATTCTGATGATTATACAGTTAACTATTATAGCCAACTTATTGACAATAATCAGAAACTAGATTTACTAAAGAATGATAAAACGGGTGACAATTTGATATCGTTGCCAAAATCATCTAAACAGACAAGTGCTTTTCCACCGAATTTTATTCACTCATTAGATTCATGTCATATGATGCTAACGGGTTTGCAGTGCTTAAAAGAAGGCATTGTTTTCGCCTCTGTACATGATTGTTTTTGGACTCATGCAGCTACTGTAGATAAGTTGAATCGAGTAAGAACTTTAATTTACACTAATTATTGGTATCTTCTCTGTTTTTCCTTATCTTTTAGTTCATGGTCTTTTGTATCTTAGAATTTTAAGTAAATTAACAGACGTTGTGAAGTTGAGTTTATTTATCTGCTTGTTTAGTCTGTTTTGGGCAATATCTCACTCGTCCAACTACCGAGTCAACAATTTACACAATGTATAATATCATTGGACCTCATGGACATGAAATGTTTTTTACAGTTTATTTCATACACTTTAAAGTACTTGACATGATAACGCTTATTGTATGGGTTCTCATTCTATCCTTTATGTAGAGATCGATTTACCAAGCGTTCATTTAGGTTACTCAAATGTTTCATGCACACACAATCTCAATAAGGTCAGTTTTAGTTAAACTTCATAGTTTGAAAATAATGTAATCACCAGTTTCTTAATTTATCTAATAACCATTTTTTGATTTATTCCATTGTAATAATAAACATTTTATTGATGATGTTAGTAGCAATAGTGATGGGAACTGTCTCTAAGCAATAGAAATCACAAATTACGTGAAAAACACTTGATATTGTTTGGTTTGTATCTTCCCATTGAGATTTAAGACTGAAATTGATCAGTATGTTATTGGCATATGTGCATACTGTGCGTATGCCTCGATATTACCTTAATTCACAAGCTATTTGTAAGCAATGATGGATAGTGGCTAGCAGTGAAATCCAGGACGCGCGTTTCGTCCTATTTGGGACTCGTCAGCTGAATGTACCTGCATCTCAGAGAGTTGATGTTCACTCTGGGACTCGAACCCAGTACCATTCGCTTCAAACGCCATCGCGTGAAAAACGTAAATATTTGTAACACTGGGACTTCTTTTTTAGCATATGAGGCATATAGTACAGTTATTAAATTACGTTATTTTATTGGAATAACATTACGTTCAATGGTATGTACAAAATAGGAATCACATATGCGAGCAAACAATAAAAAAATTTCGGAATTCTATTTTGCTTCAGAAGAACCTAATACTTGGCTATTTTCGTTAATTAAACCACTTGGTTAAGTAAATTCTCTGAAAAAAGCAATTATAGACAATAAGATAGAGTATATTAGTTACCTTTTGCCTCTTATTAGGATGATGACGATTAATCTCATTTTCGGACTCACTAATTCTATTAGGCACCAAACCTTTTTAGAATAAACATGAAGATATGAAAAGCTAAACTTCTGTTTACTACTACACTATGTACACTTTCAGTGGATTTTTATAGGGAGTATCTGTTCAGTATATTATACTCATTAAGGTTGTTTACTCAAGCATTTGTCCTTGAGTCAAAGTGAATAAGTATCTCTCATCTGCATTTATGTTATTCAGAGCTCTGTATTTTTTTATATTATGTTTTCTCATTAGTATTGTCATAGGCAGACAGTATAGTCTTTTTAAGTGGAAATGTTGAAGATATGTAATCTTTTGAATAGCTCGGATAATAATATAAGATGGAATGTCATTTCATTCACAAACTACACTTTCATGTTTCCCCTTCATACAAATTTTCGCATACTTTTGTACATCACTAAGTTGTTAATCGGTATTCAAACCGTTCACTTGTTGAATTCAACTAGGAAAAATCTCCACTAGTACCTCACTACTTTAATATCTAATCATCTTTTGCTTATTTTACTCATTTAAATCAATATCAAGATTTCAAAATTCTCATAATTTAACTTTTCTTCATACTACATTATTCATAGATATGCCGTGAAGAATTTATTGCCCTTCACAGTCAACCAATATTAGGCGATTTTGCTGATTATGCAAAACAAAGGTTTGGATATACAGACAAGTACGTTGATATTTTTAACTTTATACGATTCCAAAGGTATTTTCATATATTGAGATGATGAAGAAAGTTAAAGGCCTCACTACTGCCTAAAGATTTTTCCGATGTTATGCAGAAGAACAACGAAAACTTCACGACTGACTAGACAATCCAGCTCAGAAAACGAAATTCTACCAAGAAGGATTGTCATATAATTCTTGTCAATGAATAGGGCAACAATCGAGTTTTATTGTAGAACAATTTGTCTACACTTATTCTTATCGTCAGCGGATTTTTTCAGTACTGCGACAGTAATAAAACTAACCATAAAAATTTCTAATTATAAAATCAAAACTTATAATTTACTTGCAGTAACAATTAATTAGCACTAAATTTAGTCCTAAATATAAATGTCTTAAGTATTAAGGAGTGTAAATCAACTGGACAATAAATCTGTAGTCCATACGTTGGACTTCGTGTTAGTTGTAGTTTGTTTGTTTATAATCTTCTATTTTTTGCCAGTGCTAATCGAAGACAATATATTTAGTTTGTTTAATAACTATAGTCTTGGTTTATTTTATGTTCTACTAGTTTTCTGATATATTTCGATTATTAATTTTAAGGATATTGAATATGTACCTAGCATTTTCCAAGTTTCAAGATAGTAGATATCGACCCCCTGTTTATCTTATTCTGTTCAATTTTAATTTGTTATGGGAGTCTCCTAAAAATCTTACTAATCAGTTAGATACTACTAATTTACTCTTGCCATAAGGATTCGTAATCAAAACAATTATATCAATAATAATTTTTACTAACGATGGACTAACATAGTGAAAAATGTTGTTTATATTCGTTTAGAAAGAAGTTTGATTTATATAAAAGCCTAGTTACTTTTCTCTTTTTGCGCTTAGCTCAGGATTTTGAAACATGACTAACTTGAAAGAAAAAAGTAACTATTGTGACCGCACTAACCACGCTGTTTAGATATGAGTATAGCTCATAACCAAACCATCTAAAATCGATAACACGACGTTTTTTAGTCAGTAATTACGGGAAAACAAATACAAGTAAAAATATTGATTAGCAATGGAAATTTCGTCATTCGCTACATTCAGAGTCACCTTTTTGCCTAAAAATTTTCCACACTCAAATCACTTGTCACATTTTCATCTTCTTTCATATACACAACCTATAGTGATCATTACGTTTGTAATATATCTGCGTTTTTGTCCTAGACAAATCAATGAATTTAAAAGTGGGAAGAAACGAGATCAGGCATTGGCTTTCAATCGTTTACTTTCGAATCTCCCTAAAAGAGGTCAGTTTCTAGTTATATTTTTTCGAATCTATTCATTAATCGGCATTCGCTCGATTTTCTGTTTCTAGTATTACACAGAACATTGCAAACAACGTCACTTCAAACAAACGTAGTCCGTATTTGGGGATTGTTCCAATCCCTTAGGATAATGTATATGGGTATGGTTGGCCACTGACTCCTTTTATGTCTTCATATCTACGTGCACCATATATTTCTAAAATCCTAAACATTTCAATGATCAATATGACAGCGAAAGTTTTTCTTGTATTCCTTTCAAACTTAATTTTTTGTTAGCACGTAAATAAAATTCTTCTTTTAAAGCTTACGCATTGGTGTGAAACTACTGTTCTTTTCTGATGTATGTAGATTTGTTTGTAATTTTTATTTTCTAGATAAAGTTTGAACTTATCACCCACCGTTACGTTTACGGTGTTATGAGATACACTTTTTGTGCAGAAAACATTTTATTTGAGCTTGTGTCCAGTTTTCCCGAACACAAACGGTTCTGTTTTCATATCAGCTTCCTGTAAAGATATATATATATCTATTTGGATCATGTTTCGATCAAATATAGTAATGGTCATTTGGATACGTAAGCATTCAAATAACAAGTTTCATGTAAGACGAGAATGATCATTCTTTATTCCACCTTTAATCATTATCAAACAGCACTAGAGTCCAATGTATTAGATATTATTCTATACACTAATTTATCAACATAATGTTTGGATAAATTTAGCCGTAACCATCACCTCGTTTAACTTCTGTTTTCAATGAGTAGGAATTATTTAATAATATGATAATTGTGCATAAAACATGCACTTTTCTATTTGTATTCAATAATTTACCTTAATAAACATTAAACTACTTTTATGCATCAAAATATATAATGTTTCCCTCTATATAATTTATATAGGTTCGTTCGATTTGTCCGAAGTTATGAAAGCAGAATATTTCTTCAGTTGAACAAATCATTTGCGTCATAGTTATATACAGAAAATACACTGTACATAGAGTTGATTAGAATATTTTTACATCATTATGAGTTTGTAAATATAATTCAACTTTTATTTATTTTTGTTTGTCAATTTCCAATGTTTACGATTTCGAAAACAAAGTAAGCAACTTAGATTTAAAAGTATAGTCGGCTGCATAATTAATTAGTTTGGATCTCTGTACAAAGTAATTTTTAGAATAATGAACATATACCGAAATCTTGGGACTAACAACATCAGTTTTAGAATTAAAACCAGTCTACAAAATCAGTCACTGTAATACCATTATATTTCTGTTCTCTAATATCATAAAATCACTTGGGAAATCGGTTTACGGGACACGTCCTAATCAGATCGAACCACAATTTCTGATAATAATTAGACTATAAAAACTAAATAAGTCATTTATCTTTAAAAAAAATAAGAGGAGCTACAACTTGTTACATGACTGACGGGTTGATTAACTACTTTAAATATTTCAGTCTATGAATACTACCAATAAAATTACTCAGCACCACTTACAAAGTTTACCACAACTTATAAAGAGAAGAATGTATCCCCAATTTAAGAGTTACAGCGGCACGTTATTTAGTATAAGTTAAGGAAACTATCGCTCGATCTTGCTTGCTTCCAAAAACAGAATTTCTTTTATTCAGACTACTCTTATCCATTACTGAAAAGTTCGATACCCAACCGTTTGTCAAGTTTAGTAGTGAACTGTATAATAATAACATCGAAACTAATGTAGTTAAGCAATCACTTATTAGTCTTAAAAATAAAGGTGAAAGGAATAATGGTTAACCTACATAAAGAAAACTAGACTTTGGAAATAAAACGGCAAGCTAGAATTATGTACAAGAAACCAAGTGATCGTGGTCTTCAACAGCCAAAACTAATAATAATCACCCATAAATATAGAGCCTATTAGAAATCCGATATAGCGTAACCAACATCTCAATAGTACTACATAATGTTCGTACTGATACTCATTTGCCATTTCAATATGTATGCGATAATTTAGCTACTCCCTGAATGACATGGCTCAAAATCGTTTGCAATGGCGCGGGTGCATCCACTCTTTGTGTTCTCCCAGATTCTAATCTTCTGACTTCTCCATGCCCCTTTTTTCCTCTTTCCAAATTTATTTCACTGGATTATACTCTTTAAATAACATCTCCAATCTTGCCTATTACTGCTTATACTCTTGCTACCTCTACCACTACGGGATTTGAATCGACAACTGCATCTCTGTGCTAAGGTGGTATGGCAACTCGAACTGATGTACGTACGTGCGAAGTTCTACGTTGTTACTGACTGATTTTAGCTACTGGACTTTATTTAGTGGGTTTGACGAAACACCCTAGATCTCATTGAATAATCAGTAGATTTCAACCTAAGGAAAGATGAATATTTATTTGCCCGGTTACTTTTTGCGGATAATACTTACTATCAGGACCGACCGTTTCGTAAGGACGCTGACAAACTGCAGTCTCCTAAATACCTTGGATTGGACAAGATTTTCGTCCGCTTACCAATCAACTAAGTAGCAGTCCGCTCCTTAGTGCATTGTGGTTGTGAAACATGGTCCTCAAGGATAGATGACATGTGCACGATACAATTATTTTATCGTGGATATCTTCCTAACATGCCGAGATATGATAATCACCAATTGAGCAATGATAAGCCTACGTGCGGTGCATTGAGTGAAGGTGGGATATCCAGTAAGTCTATGGAACTCCGTTAATTATCTTCCTCGCCATTTAATTCTGGCTTTTATAAAAATAGGTTGGGTGAAATCTAGGAACCTTCAAACCATAACTTGACAAGAATCCATTGAGTCACTAACTTGTTCTGAATCAGGTTACTAGATTCTAGCTTCCTTGTTGGATTCTACACGACAACTATGATCGGTTTGGTGAGGTGGATAACGCCTTACAATCAGTCTCCTTGGTTCGAACATGTCCATTCTTCATTTCCTATATCTTAAGTCATGATATGATTAGATTACTCTGTTCCTTCCAAGTCATGTGTCAGACAGTCTTGCGAAAACAAAGGATAATTCTCGACTTCGCAAAAGAAGCTGTATATTGCTGAACATAACCAACTTTATTGTTCACCACTTACGGTGGTGTTTAGAACTAAGGAAAGAAGTTACATTGAGGACATCCAACGCTGGAGGATCACCGCTAGCTAAACATTTAGGGTGAGATTACACCTCATCAGACCTCCCAGGTTAAAGATAGTGTCTCGATGGAGAATATTTGGTAAGATATGACTCCTGTAGTACGGGAGATTAAAAGAACTGTGGACCCCATTTCTGCGCCTGGCTGAACTACTTGTGCCCATCAACGAAGGACCCTACGCTTATTAGAATTTACAGTCGTATAGAGAAAAAAACAAGACGGCACCAGCCCATGAACGTAGATAAAGGCTTGTAGCATACGACTCAGTCAACATACGCACATCCAATCTACTTTTCTGTTGTGAGGTATGTCTAAAACACCTGCCCAGATTTTACTAAATGTCGACCGACCCTACGATTTTCTGGTTGGCTAAAACCTCAGTAACTACGTGTTTCATTTTACATATTTTCCTTGTGAGTCGTGTGAAATCATAAATAGACACGGTCGATAAGCGAAGTAGATAGCATATAGTTGCTACTATTAATTTAGTTTCAATAATTCCATGTTAGCATTGTTGGACGAAAGGGATCTACAATCCACGGACAAATCCCGCTTTAGGTAGTTGCAGCAAAGTCCCAACTAAATTGCCGCATTATTTAATCTTATCTACACTGGTCGTTATTTAATGAAAAGAATGTGAACGCTGAATATTATCTGGTCTGTCTCAGTAACGAATACACGATATTGCATGCATGACGCGTCTCAATGTTTAAAATAATATTTGTCTCGAACAGTAATCCTTGATAAATACATATTTTAGCGTAGATCAATATAATTAAAAGGATTAATTAAAAGTATATACAACTTAAAGAATCAAATCATTCCGAACCGCTTTTCATTTAATCTCAATGCCGCCTTGAATGTTTATGCTTCGATTTATGATTTTGCTTCGGGGACTTGTCTGAAAGCTTCGAAAGCTTCTTTAGTAGCTTTTCACGTTGTCTTTCGGTGAGGTTTTTGAGGAATTCCATGGCTAGAGAATCTTCTTCTTCAGATGTTTGCTTTGAGACACTGGTCAGTGCACTCTTTGCTTTGCTAAATACAGATGTAAAACGGTCCAGATCAGTTCCTCGCTTCAAAGTAAGCCCCTCTTTTTGTAGATTTCTTTTAACTTGGTCAAGACCAATCATATCGCTTGTTGTTGGTTCCTTAGTGAAAGACTGACCAAAAAGTGGACAAACACGATCAGTGTTTAAGTGCCCCCATTGTTTGCACCGCATGCATCGTACGTTTCGGACTTCGATGGCAAAGGGCTGATCTATGATCTCTGACGAGTTTTTGCAATAGCTTTCTCTCGGAGCACAATATTTCCTTTGCCATTCAAACTTCACCTCTTTGTCGTCAGGTTGCTCCTATTCAAATGATTACTAACATATACTCCTAAACTAACCTTTTCCATTAAAGCAGGCTGGTCATACATCCATGCTAAGCCTAGCCTAGCTTTTTCATCACCTAGAAGGACACGGTTTTCAAGTGTTTCTTGTTCCCGACGATATTGATTTAGTTTCTCTAGTTCCTTTTTCGTATCGTACTCATTTGCCTGTTCAGCCATCCACTTTCTCTTTATGTTTTCGAAGTTTGTTGGGTGGAAAAACTTCTTGCACATATAATTATTATACCCTTTCCCCATCCTTAACAAGAGACGTACCGCAAAATCCGATAAGCGCCACTCCAGATAATGTTTTATGTCTTTGTGAGTAGCAGACTTAAACTAAATGATTTATTTTTTACTGGTTTAACTGCACAGTCAATTCACGGCGACTGAGTGCCTACGTGTTTTTTTATCAGAACCGGTGAGTGTTCTCATGATAGCGATGTCACTGGAAATCATACATATCGCTTCATTAGAAGTACTGGACAACTCTAGTGCAACTTTTTGGCATAAGACAATCTCTGTTGTGCAACTTATTTTCGTTCGTTACTAGTAGACCTGTCATAGGTGCATAGATCAAGCAACCTATTTGTGTGATGAGTTTTGGAATAGGTCAACTAAGATCTCTTTATCGGGCTCTACATGATCACAATTTAATCAGCTTAGATGCAATTCCATGCTAGAAATTCTAAGTGATGTGTTATAAATAAAGTCGTTGTGTGCCATATGTAAGAACAGGTCCCCTTACTGAGAAGACTGGATCACAACCTCAACTAAATCTGTTACAGTTTTCGATATATTCGAGAGATTATAGTTTGTGAAAATATGATATTGAAGCCGACTTTATGGGTTTTAAATGGCACTGTGAGTTGAGAGCTTTCAATCAAACATCACCACATTTAGGTAGCCACTTTGAAGTGCATGATCATTATTCCTCTCCGGAGAATCAAACCAGTCCTATCTTTGCCTTTTTCTTTATTTATCTCGAGATAATTTGTTTCTCACCTGTTTCCCTCATTTGTCTATATGCATTTGTCACCTCATCCTGCTTGAAAAATACACCAAATTATTCGCTTTTAAGTCCCTCCTTCTCCCTAATTTTAAAATTATCTGTCAGGTTGACGATATTGAATCGTGATCCAACTATTCAGATGTGATTTTTCAACATAGTGAGACAGCTTTTCACACTAAGTTCACCGCTGTCACAGGCTCATCGCAGGACAAATATGGATGAACAATCCAGGACTTTTCCGACAACATATTCTTTCTAGACCACTACGGAAATCCAAACCATCCTTCTTTCGTGTTGAGTGTTGTTTGTAGTGCTTTATGTTCAAGAGACATTTCAGTCGATGTAAGCGAGGTTTTCAACGTATTATACTGAACAAGCGTTCCGGAAGCTGGATTGAATTTCGTAACGCGCTAAAAGAATTCGAAGAACTTTGGGAGAATAATTTTATCCCTTCTCAGACCACCCATACTCATTACATCCAAAGAGAGAGTAAATTGCTGAAGGATATGAGGTTTAAATACTTGTTTGTGATGTTTCATAGCACATTTGGTCATAAGCGTAAATCAGAGAGTCTGACAATTAATCAAAAACCGTGAGAAATTTAACTAATATGTGACGTTTAAGGTCTAAGTTTCTAGACTGACAATCACGGTGCTGTGTAAGATTAGAAGGTGAAAGATTCAGATTTGTATAATAAGGGTGGAAGGCCTACGGCTTATGTTATTCCTTTTCTATTATGCTTCTCCGAATGCCCAGTCTTCTGTTAAAAAAGTCAATTGAAGGTGCGGACACCATGTCTTCGGGCAGCAGGTCCCAAGTATTAATGACTCGGTGCGAAAACCTGTATGCCTCGTGTATTTTGTTTGTTCTTGGCTTCTCTACTCGCCTGCTATGTCCTCTGAGATGTCCCGATCATCAAAATCATACAAGATGCTTCATAATCATCTTTTTAGTAGTTCATGCATGAGTTGTGATCCATAGACCAGAAGGTTATCGTCAGAAGAAAAAGAAAATTTGAAACCGGTGATATTGCAGTAACAATCAACAGACAAATTAATAGAAAGTATCAAGAATAGAACTAGTAAGCAGGTCACTTCTGCTGTTGTCAAAACTGTTAAAGCCCAACTGTCTACAGGTTGATGTGTAGAAGTATATTTCAGGTTGTTGTACGCGAAAGCAAGTAATCGATATTTTGCGACAAAAGGCGGGAATGAGAGAGTATTTAGAATACGGATATGTTACCAGGATCTGCTTCGGTACTCATGAGCAGATACAATTATATAACACATATCCAGAAGTTGTTTGCATTGAGTCTACTTACAATACCAATAATAAAAACTGATTACGCTTCTTGTTACACTGCACTTTGTAGATATTCGTTATTGTAGTTGGTAGCCACCGGATGTACAGACATTACATTATTGGGATATATGGTGAACGATTCGTGATACATGTTGAGAGAAAAGCCGACAATTTTTATTAGGAATTGTCAATAAGTAGACAAGACTGCAGTTTCTAGAACGCTTATCTTTATGAAATACGGTTCGCAATCTAACGAAGTGTGAAGACGTCTACGATAGAAAATACTTTGTGGTTTTGTTTTTGACTTTACTATATGTACAACTTGTAAACTTATTTTTCTGCTTCATATGCCATTCTTCCTTTACCAGTAGTACTTATGAGTCAATAAACTTTCGCAAACTTTTTATTTTCGCCTTAGCACGTTCATGGAGGGTATACCAATAATGTTAACGAGTTATTGTCTGTGAGAATTAAGAACAAATACGCGTTATATACTTGAATTTCTATACTCAATACTATTCACATTGAATATATTATTCTATAGCCGGCACGAATGTGTTCTTCTGAAGTATCATTATCAATGGTCACGATACGATGAATCAGTGTAGACAGTGATGCGACTTCCAAGTGAGATCTTACAGATTAGGCAATCACATGACAAATTTGCCGTTTTCGGATTAGGTCTATTACTAAAGTAGTATCAGTACCGAACTAGACTATAATTATATATACTAACAAGATTTACAATAGAAATGACTGAGTATAGTTGTTGTATTTATATTTAAATAATTCACTAGATGAATGAACGTGACAGTAGTCAATATAAAACACAGCTATCATAAATTTGTAAACTGTTTCTCCCCATGATCTTCCATAATCATGAATTCTCTAAATTGTTCCTATGTTTGTTTATGATTGTTGCGTTGACATTTTACTCCGTCAAGTACAGAGTATATCTGGTGCAGGACACTGAAGTCTTTTGATATATAGTACGTCCTTTTCAGTTTTCGCAGTTTAGACCTAGTCTTTTGGTTTATATAGAGATTAATTGCTTTAAAATCAATTTTAGAGGGCATAGTAGTGTCTAGTGCAGATTTGGTGGTATTAGTGAATATTTCTAATGTTTCTATGAAGTTATCAGAATAGTGGGATTGTCGCCCTCAACATTTCGAGACCCCATAACAGCACCGTTGAGGGGGAGAGAGATAAAAAAGGATGAGATGGTATATATGTCGAATTAGGGCTGATCAAAGAGTTGTGTAGGGTGGTTAGACTTTGACAGTATCTGGAATCACTAGGTGGGTGCCCAAGTGAGCCAACATTATAGCTTCTTTGTGTGCGGTGGGCAATTTTAGTCCTATTATGGGTAATTGAGGAGGTTGCTTGTTTCAGGTAAGGAATAGGGAATTTACTGATATGGCTTACTGGTATCACGTATGGGTGCAGTTTTTGTCGTGGTAGCCTCACGTTAGGAGTAATGAGCACTGCCAGACCACTATGTTTGTTGTAAGAAGTTCTGCTGCTGTGGACGAGTGCATATTGTGGGTTAGGGGTACGGGAGTACTGGTGGATTCTTACAGACATCTTAGTATTATTTCGTACATCAGTGTCTGAGCGTCTGTAGCTGTTAGGGCAATTCCTGGGAGGATCATTTTTAGGCATTTTATCGGGGCCGCTATTGCAATACTGGGGCACCATTGAGGCATAGGTGGATTGGCATTTCGGGGTAGCTGAGTGTTTGGGCTGAGGATGAGTGGTTGCAGCTGCCTTATGTGCACTCTTGTCCTTAGGACTAGTAGCAACATGCAACTGGCCTCCGTTTTTGGTAGGAGTAGGGCACGGTGTTTTAGGATTTGTGTAATGGTCAACGTTTTAACTGCCGCTACTACATAGGCTGGGTTGAACCGTTTGCAATTGACTGAAGATTCGATGTTGGATAGCAGTCCTGTCATGGATGATTCTAATCTTTTTAAATGTTGGAATACGTCCCAGTAGTGACTGACTATTAAGGAGGTGGTTGACTTTTGTCATACTATCAAACTGAAATAGTATGGGACAGGAGGCTTTAGTCTGTGCTTCACGTAATCTTCTTGTTACACATCAAGATTGCGACAATCCACATTCATGTAGTAGAACATTCTTAGCAATCTTTACGCTCGTACTATCAGGTATATTATACACAATGACATTGTGCATACACTGAAGTCTTTTCAACACTTCAAATGTTATATGGTCGATTAATTTTTCAGTGTTTTTAAAAATTTCGATTTCGGGAATGGAAAGACGCGATAAGCCCGGTTTGTAACGCTGGGAGCAGGGATTTAGTTAATAACTACAGAGTCACTAGCCTAACTAGTGCAGTATTAAAACTGATGGAAAAAATCATTCGGATAGCTGTTATAAACTATGTTGAAGGGCATAATCTTTTCTCCAAGGATCAACATGGTTTTCGGAGAGGCCTATCATGCTTGACAAATCTCATTGCAATAGAAGATCGGGCTGCAGCAAAAGATCCTAATATTCATATGGATATGATCTACATAGATTTAAGTAAAGCCTTTGATAAGGTTTCACACTCTGGTCTTAAATTCAAAGTGAAACGTTTTGGAATCCATAACACAGTCGTCGATTGTATAAGTAACTTTCTCCATGACAGGAGACAAAGGGTAAAGGTTAATGGGGCTCTCTCCTCGTGGGTACCTGTAAAAAGTGGGGTTCCCCAAGGCACAATCCTAGGTCCTCTTCTCTTTTTACTTTATGTAAATGAATTGCCAACTGTAGCAAAATCATCCGTTCTACTCTTCGCTGATGACATAAAAAGTTGGAGACCCATATATAGTATGTCGGACAGGATAGTATTACAGGACGATCTTAGCTCATTGGTGGCATGGTTAGATAGGTGGTCACCAGAAGTAAATCCTAATAAGAGTGTAGTGATGCAGTTAAATAACTCTGATGAATCGTATGACTATACACTACGTGGATTCGTGCTACCCAAAGCAAGAAACTATAAAGACTTAGGAGTTATATTAAGCAATGATCTCAAAACGACTAGTCACTGTAAGACTGCTGCTGCAAAAGGCTATAGGGTATTATGGTCTATTCGTAAGTCTTTCCAGTATTTAGATGATGAAATGTTTAGATTATTATACCCGATTTATGTGCGACCACATTTAGAATACGGGATTCAAGCAGCGAGTCCTTGTTCTAAGTATAAAGCAGATATGTTTGAAAGAGTCCAACAACGAGCTACTAAGATGGTACAAGGTCTATCTGGCCTATCTTATGAAGACAGACTGGCACAAGTTAACTTATTTGCGTTATCATACCGTAGAATACAGGATGATATAACATTGGCTTATCGTATACTGAACGATGACCTTGGTATTAACATGTCTTATCTTTTGCTTCCGTCTAGAACCGATCATTTGAGAGGACATTCGAAGAAAGTTCAAAAACCGAGATCAAACCGTTTACGTCTGGAGTTTCGTTTCTCGCACCGAGTAGTGAATTACTGGAATTCCCTACCGGAACACGTAATATCAGCACCGTCTGTTAATATATTCAAAACGAGATTGGACCTCCACAGTATTACAAACTGCAAGCATTAATATAGGTCGATAGACCTCCTATCCTTATTACTGAAGGCTGAAATATTGACTATCTTGGTATCGTTAATAAGCTTCGGCGGTATTCAAAAAGTTCATCTGTACGTTATTCCCAACCCCCATCAGTGGACGATACCCTAGGAGCGTTGCCTACGTGCTACACACCTGAAGGCGCTCTGTGCTTGTGGTTGCTCAACAAATTAAGAGGCTCATAGCCTATCAGGGGTATGTCTTCATATTTTACCAATAACCATATTCACTAAGTCAAGCCTTCCCAACCAAGTTATCCAACTTTGTTACGCAAATAAGTGACAGGAAAACCATCGTTTTTAGACTCATAACTGTTTATGTCAGCTAAAACAATCCTGCTGTAGTTATCTGTAATACGAATAGCGCGATGAATAGACTCCAACGATTTTTGGATGAAAATGTAGAAGCTATAAGAGTAAGACCAGATTCTTGTACTAAATAATCCAGTTATTACCTACAACGTTCTTCGTAATTGGAGTATATCTTCTCGGGAGGCATTTTTATATCGTAAATAAAGCTGGTTCATGCGTATATTCATTCAGTTTACTAAGTTTAACTCCATCCACTCGATTCCATCTGTTGTATACAGTCGCCAGATACATCTAAAAGGTTTAGTTAAATCTATAAGTCCTACAGGTGAATTGGAGATCTTACATGTGCCCAAGGTTAAACTGCCTTTCCGAGTCCCTTATGGTACGTTGTTTTTAAGAAAAATACATTATAGGTAATGCCATGAAGATTTCTATTCCTGTGCAGCATTCCGGTCAAAGTATACAATGGTTGAAGCAAAATATACACCCAGGTGAACGTGTCGTTTTCATTCCTGTAAAACCAATTTTCGAGAATGCAGAACTTCTGGCTATAATATACAAACGAGTAACTTACTATTTTTGTTTATAGTGGCAGTGGTATTTTTCAAAAAAAGATATATCTTACCACCTATTAGTCAATGGAATAACCAACCACAAAAGCTTCAATGATTTGCCAGATAACTTTCGCAATAAGTACTCCTCGGCTATATCGAAAGCAATTCGAATGAAACGGGGTATTTGGCAAGAAGACTATAAAGTGTGGAAATCTTGTAAATTATTTTTCCAAAAGATAAAACAACTCGTGAACTTGTAAAACTGACGATTTAGTCTTGTTAATATACAGTTTCTATTTTACTTTTCTAATTATGGTGTAACATGTTGAACAGTGTGAGTAGTTGTTATTTTCACGATTTAAAACATAAATAAGCAAAATCAAGAGGCCGAAATGTTAAAGTTAGTATTGTAACACATTTTTACGTGAGACGTCACCTTACATTCTAATGTTTATGCTAAAACTAGGAAGTTATAGTGAGTCTCTACTTGGTGCGCGTCTAATAATATGTATACAAAGTATCGAAACATTGTACACCTTGGGTAGGTACTTATTCAGTTTTCAGTAATAAGGATAGGAGGTCTATCGACCTATATTAATGCTTGCAGTTTGTAATACTGTGGAGGTCCAATCTCGTTTTGAATATATTAACAGACGGTGCTGATATTACGTGTTCCGGTAGGGAATTCCAGTAATTCACTACTCGGTGCGAGAAACGAAACTCCAGACGTAAACGGTTTGATCTCGGTTTTTGAACTTTCTTCGAATGTCCTCCCAAATGATCGGTTCTAGACGGAAGCAAAAGATAAGACATGTTAATACCAAGGTCATCGTTCAGTATACGATAAGCCAATGTTATATCATCCTGTATTCTACGGTATGATAACGCAAATAAGTTAACTTGTGCCAGTCTGTCTTCATAAGATAGGCCAGATAGACCTTGTACCATCTTAGTAGCTCGTTGTTGGACTCTTTCAGACATATCTGCTTTATACTTAGAACAAGGACTCGCTGCTTGAATCCCGTATTCTAAATGTGGTCGCGCATAAATCGGGTATAATAATCTAAACATTTCATCATCTAAATACTGGAAAGACTTACGAATAGACCATAATACCCTATAGCCTTTTGCAGCAGCAGTCTTACAGTGACTAGTCGTTTTGAGATCATTGCTTAATATAACTCCTAAGTCTTTATAGTTTCTTGCTTTGGGTAGCACGAATCCACGTAGTGTATAGTCATACGATTCATCAGAGTTATTTAACTGCATCACTACACTCTTATTAGGATTTACTTCTGGTGACCACCTATCTAACCATGCCACCAATGAGCTAAGATCGTCCTGTAATACTATCCTGTCCGACATACTATATATGGGTCTCCAACTTTTTATGTCATCAGCGAAGAGTAGAACGGATGATTTTGCTACAGTTGGCAATTCATTTAGATAAAGTAAAAAGAGAAGAGGACCTAGGATTGTGCCTTGGGGAACCCCACTTTTTACAGGTACCCACGAGGAGAGAGCCCCATTAACCCTTACCCTTTGTCTCCTGTCATGGAGAAAGTTACTTATACAATCGACGACTGTGTTATGGATTCCAAAACGTATCAGTTTGAATTTAAGACCAGAGTGTGAAACCTTATCAAAGGCTTTACTTAGATCTATGAAAATTACATCCACAGGAGCATTCCGATCCTTTGCCGCAGCCCACTCTTCTCGTGCAATAAGAAGATTTGTCAAGCAAGATAGGCCTTTCCGAAAACCATGTTGATCCTTGGAGAAAAGATTTTGCCCTTCAACATAGTTTATAACAGCTATCCGAATGATTTTTTCCATCAGTTTCACAACTGCACTAGTTAAGCTAACGGGTCTATAGTTACTAACTAAATCCCTACTCCCAGCCTTATACGCCGGACTTATTATGGCGTCTTTCCAGTCTCTAGGAAGTCTGGACTGTCTCAGAGACATGTCGAATAGTATCGCTAATGGTTCAGCAATTTCATCTGATATGGCTTACATAATCCTAGGATGAATATCTTCGGGACCACTGGACTTATCAGGTTTGAGGTGCTGAAGTAGCCTTAAAACAGTATCTTTCTCAATGACTACAGGGTCCATCAGCGAGCCGTCACGGTCACGATGAATCATTGGTCGTTCCTCATTACCGATAGAAGTCATCTTTACTTTAATTATGTAGTTCAGCATTTTTACTTAGAATGCATATTTTGCGCGAGCAATCAATTTGTAAAAAGTAGTCCTAAATAATCGGATTTAGGGAGTTATTCTAAGGGTCTTGTATTCATACAGCATACCCTGAACACTATTTTGAATAAAAACTAATTTTACGAAATAAGAGTTGAATGTCACTTCCAGGCAAGTTCATCGTACCAGTGAGCAAACAGGATATTCATTTTTCGATAAAGTCGATATTTTTATCACCCAGACTGTTGTTGGTAGCCGCATAGGATAATTTGTGAATACCTTCGCTTTATGTGTTTTCACAAACTCGTCCAAGTAGGCAGAACACTTGGTTATTGAATGCTACTCAATTTAGCATTCTGGGGGCTAATGCTTTAATCTCGTGTTTAAATATAATAGTTAGTGTATATCAAAAGAATGAGTCACATATTTTATTATTTTGGCAGGATTGACCTCCATGATTAAGAGGTTGGAGATTTGAAGCTTGATTAATCAACGGAACATAGAATCAGAATATTAAGGGCGTTAATGTAAAACCTGATTGCAGAAGACCAAGGATAGTATTCCATAGGCTCGTTTTTAGTTATAAAGTAAATGGTCGTACGAGTAGTCATTCAAGTTGTCGACATGAAAACAATAAACGTAAGAGGGACTCAAAGGATGAAGATGGCTTCTGACGAGCAATACGAGTTTTAAAACTTCTTGGGGGTAATATTTTGCAACTGTTCGTAGATGAAACTTTCCACCCTTAAAACTGATAATGAAACTGCGACCAGCAAAATAAGTATTTGAGAGAAATATTTAACCGTATATTTTGTATCACTACTGAAATCAATATTTGGAAAAATAAAATAAAAAACAATATTTTGGTTGGTTACAAGGAAATTATCAAAAATATACTAAAATATCAGGAGAAATATACAGTAGGTTTACAAAAACCACCTTATTTAGAAATCGGGTTTACAAGATGTAAATTTCCGATAGTATGATAGAAACCATCATCATCACGGTGTCTTCCGATTGCACACAGGTAAATTGAATCTAGGATGAATACTCCAAACTCCGTATCTAAAAATTCACCATACAGATTGGGGTCGATTTTGTTCGTACCAACTTTTTTTGATACTGAACGATTCATCTGAAATTGGGAATATATAACTAACCGTACTTTCTCTAAAAACAACCAGTGGTCACGTAATTACAATGATAATATGATAACTAAAAGTATCTAGTATTGCTGACCAATGGGTTGAGTAAAAACAATGGCCATGTCTGGTGTGAGATTTTCGGAGCAAGTCAGTTTCTTCATTGTTGTCAATCATTAATAACATCCGAAACCCGGCGAGACTCATACTTTCAGCTGCTACTAACTATCAACAAGAGTAATAACTAATTAGCAAGCTTCAGAACTTAGATGATCAGGAAGATCACTAATGGGAATGAAAAAATACAACAGAAAAGATCTGCAATGTCTTCTGTAACCGTTTAGAGAACTAACACTGTGGCATTTTACTTGCAATTAAGTGTAAACCCACTTATTGTTAGTAACACAATCACTGGGAGGTTTACTGTGCAGAAGGTAATCTCAGTCAGTCAGCTACAACGTAGGACCAGGCTCATATATGCATCGGTCCAAGTTGTTACACCTCATTAGCACAGCAAGATGAACATCAAATCAATGGAAGTAATATATAAAAGAAAGATTGTGTATGAGGATATAATACAAGAAAAAAGAATTAGTTCGTAGGAAGAAAAATATAAATCGATTTTAATCTCACGGTTTAAGGGAAGACAAAGAGTGTACACACCTACGCTATTGTGATCGATTCTGAGCCATGTCACCCAGTCTCCAACCATTGGTTACGATAGTCTCGCGGACACCAAGTAACCAGACAGTTGCTGCTACCTTGACATGGTGATCGGGCTTGCCTGTTGTGATGAAGCAATCGAGCCATACTGGCTGGAACAATCGTTTCCCCAAGGTCCTACCATGCCAGACAGGTCGGTTGAAGAGCGGTAAGACCAAAAGCAGCAAACTTAAGGTCTGAGGGCGAAGTTGTACAGAGGTGTGACGGCAGTAATGTGTTCCCTTCAGACAACCAGCATAACGACGATTCTGCCTTCCCACAAGGAGGGGTGGTGTTAGAAAAGCTCGACTCTAGAAATACACACCTCGCCTTATCCCGCAGATTTCCGTCTTTACCGATAAGGTCCCAACAAGTGCGGAACTAACACGAAAACTAGTCGCAATAAGGTCGTGTGTGGCCGACCTCAAGCAGTTTTCCCTTGGGCATTACGATCAAGCTTTCAGGTTACTAAGACTACCTCTAACTCAATTTGCTTTTCAGATACCTCTAGAGGAACTCTCCCATGGTGTGAACAACCAGGAAGCGGCAACCGCACTCATACCTCTAACAGCAGTCTAGATCACTGTATTCATAATCAATCTCCTTCAATTTCTATTGTTTCTCCTACATTGACTTTCAGTTCTAAACTTCCTCCTCAAATGTCACCATAGCCAACTATTCTAGTGTGCAAAAGACTGTCCCAGGTCTACTGAAACCGCGAGGCTGCAACGTGCGTCAGTAGGCCTCCTTGGCTAAAACACTAGAATCTCGTACCATTGGTGTATACTGTGTCCCCGAAACACTCATATATGATCCTAGTGTGGTCATTCACCTGACCTCACCTCGACAAAACGGTGAACCGACGAGATACACCCTCCGTGTATCTTGTTACCCGATGGCTAGTTCTCGTGGACTAGCAGGTGTGGGCATAGAACTATGTACGAAGGAAGAACAAGCACTATTGAAATGGATCCCCGTTAACAGTCGTTTATGTGCTGTTTGGCTAAACGGCTCCGTAAGAACTCGGAAGGATAGGGACACACGTCGTTGCCTTTTTGTCGTTTCTGCCTACACCGACTGCAGCCCGGATGAAGTGAAAGATGAATTTTACAGAAAGCTATCTGAACTTCAGAAAGTTAAACGTTCAGATACAGTACTCGTAGCAGGTAACTTGAATGCCCAGATAAGTAGTTGAAACCAAACAGAAAAGCATTTAGGTGGGTATTTTGATATCCCGGTGATAGTCTGCTGCAAG